GTGTGGATTTACTGCTCATGTTTTGAAGGTGAACATTAAGCTAGTTTGTTGCTTACTGTAGGTTATAGCTTAATATTAAGTGAATATTAAGCAGTTTGTTTTAAGGGGAAGTGACACTCTGAGCAGCTACTGCCTTTTAGAGTTGCCTTTGGGGAAAGGTTGTCAACTTCCGTTTTTCTCACAGCTCGGGAGACACAAGCATCATCTCTGGGCTCTTGCTTTGTGCTTGGTTGTGGGGACCAGACTTCTGTAGGGTGATGTGACCTGTGACAGGCGGGTAGCCCCAGGCCCCAGGCCCTCTTTTCCAATGGATGATTTCTCACACTTGCCAGTCTCTAACAGTTACCAAGAGGAACCCATCCACATACATACACAGTACCAAATTCCTTTCCAGTCCTGAGTCAGCTTCCCCAGGGGATGCTTTGCACACAACGCTGTTGTTGCCAGATCTTGTCTTCTTGGAATCTTTTGGAAGCTTCCCATCTCTCGAAGAGAAAAAGGCCAGTGTGTGAACATGAGCTGCAAGGCTCACGTTGGTCCCTGTGGTCTCTCTTCACACTTCTCCACGCGGCTCCTCCCACACTGGCCCCCACAGTGCTCCTCCAGCAGGAGGAACAACACGGGCTCCCCGCTCAGTGTTTTTGCACTTGCTCTTCCCTCTCTCCAAAGGTCTTTCCCTGTGTATTCACACAGCACGTTTCTGCCGCTTCACCTGCTCCAGGGCTTCGCTCATCCAGCACCTTCTTAGTGAACCCCTCCCAGATCACTCCACTGAAGTAACTCCCCTGCCCCTGGCCCCCACCAGTGGGCCCCTGCACCGCCTTCCCTGATCTCTTCCTACACAGTACTCACCACCACCTATCCTGCTATGCACTTTTGAAAGTTTAATCTCTGCAATAAAATGTAATTTTCTGAAGGGTATGTGTGTTTTTGACCAGTTGGTCCCATGTAGTGCCTAACACCATGCCTGGTGTATGGAGTGGGCTCAGTAAATATTTGCTAATGGATGAATGATTAAGGGGTAGATTTTTTGACAAGCCCCTGGTCGTTCTTCATGTTACCCAGTTTCAGGAAACATTGGTGTAGCAGATGTGTAGGCGAAATTGAGTGAACCACAGGAAACATTTATTTCTTTCTGGTCATTCCTCCCTCTTCTCTGGGTTCTGATACTTGCTAAATGCCTGGATTTGCCTGTAGCCCCTGCCTGTCCTTGCTGTGAGCAGCACCCTGACATGTGCTCCTGGGGATGCTGACATGTGCAGTGTGAGTGGGAATCTTTCGGGGGTGACTAATTCACCCAGGGAAACAAAGTCCTCTGCTGGGAAGCACCTTCATTTGTTCATTTCACCTATTGATGTTCTTTTTCCTGGTACGGTGAATGGTAAATCTGTCCCTGCCTTTGGTATCTTACCATTTTTAGCTGGATTGACTTCAAATGGACTCGAACAAATATATCTCCCCCAGGGTAATTGCCACTCACAGTGTAGTACTTGGACCAGCATTGGCCTCATTTGGGAAATTGTTAGAAATACAGAATCTCAGGACCACTCCAGACTTATGGAATCAGAGAATATACAGGAAATGGTTAATTTTATGTCAGCTTGGCTGGGTTTTGGTGCCCAGATATTTGGCCTAATGTTCTTCCAGATGTTCCTGTGAAAGTGTTGTTTTTTTTTGGGGGGGGGAGTGAGATTAACATTAAAATTCATGGACTTTGCGTAAAGCAGATTACCCTCCATGTTGTGGGTGAGCCTTGTCCAGTCAGCTGAAGGCCTGGGTAAGACAAAGTCTGACCTCCCTGGGCAAGGAAGGATCCTGCCAGCAGGTGGCCTCAGACTCAGAGGACAGCAGCTCTTCCCTTGGGTCTCCAGTCTGCCAGCCCACCCTGCACATTTTGGGCTTGCCAACTTCTCCACCATTTTGTGAGCCAATTCCTTAAACCTCTCACCCTGGGTATGTGTGTGTGTGTGTGTGTGTGTGGGCAGCTCACACAAGCAGGCAGATTTCATCCTGGGTGGACTTACGTTCTACACACAGTTCAGTGTAGAAGGTCGACTCTGTGAAACGAGCCCAGGTAACAGGCATGGGAACAACAGGTCAGTGTCCCCCTGTTCTGTTTCTCGGGAAAGCCCCGATGAATACAATACATTTAAAAAAACCCTAGGAGATTCATATACACCTTTAAGTTTGAGAAACACTGCCATAAATAAACTCTTCTGGTAGAGTGATTTTGATGGGAACTGCCTTCAGCTGTAGTTTTATGTGTTTAATTCTGTAACGGGACACATAAGGGCTGTAATTAAGGCCACTATTGTAATGCCGTACAGCAGCCATCTCCTGGATGAATGCCATTTTCTCTGAGTTATTGATTACATTGATTCTATTTTAGGAAGCAAACATTTTAGACTCATTTTTCTAGTTTAACTAAGAGTAAAAGTTAGTATGCTTTCCCTCCCCCACCTTACCTTTTTGTCTTGGTTTTCTGACATGAACAGTGATGCAGACTCCAGCCAAGGGGTCTGTGTGTTGTGGATGTGATGAGCAAATTCACACAGGCTGCAGAAGTGCTGCGGAGAAAAAGGGAAGGCACAGCCACTGTCTGAGAGAGCTTCGACCCTCGCCTGGACAGGCTTTTATTGCTTTCTAGTCACATCACATCAAAGAATGTTCTCATTCATTATCCTTAGGTTTACTTTAAGTGATTACTTCTTATAGATAACAAAAAAAATGTTGCAAATGCAAGGGAATGATAAAAGTGATTGATCTGGTTACATTCCATCCTTGGGACGGCTTAGCACAGACTTTAGGGAGTTGCTTCAGAGATATACATTAAACATCTGCAGTCTTAACTCAGGGTGAGGGAGTTTTAGCAAAAGCAAGCCTTAAAGCAGCCTAGGCACAATGCCAGCCTGGTTCCCCATGGGAAAACCGATCTGCATGCCTGGGTCCTGTGTGCCACCTTGCACCAACGGTTTTCTGGTTTGGGGCTGGGCTACATTCGTCACTTCCATGCTGATCAGTTTCCTATAAAACAGGACCTTCTTCTTCCCCAGACTTTTACCTTCATGGCCTCCAGACACATTGGGTCCTCTTAAGAACACTTAGTATTTTACTCTAGAGGGAAACGCTCACACACAGGTGGGGCCATATGCCACCTGTGCTTGTATGTGTCTCTTTGATACAGCTCAAATTTTGGGTTCAAATGTTATAGTCAAACTGTCTTTTAAGATGCTTTCTCAAGTCTTCAAGTATGTGGATTTTCATGCTTCCTGCACTGTGCAGTGTTGGTTGCTTTATTTTACTGGTCAGGGCTGCCGTGAAGGAGGGCCCGGCATTCTGTCTGACTTTGTCCTGCAAACCGCAGTCAGGAAAGCTTGGTGCCACGGGCTATCACGCACACGCTTTCCCTGCTCTTGAATGAACTTGGTGCCAGCTAGTTTAGGCTGCCTGGACAAACTTTACCATGACATCTTGTTATCCATGGGTTATGTAGAAGAGCAGGGACTCCATGCAAACAAATTTTCTTGCTCTTTCAGTGATATTTCTTCAAGTATCATGCTCTTTAAAAGTGGTTGTCATATAATTTATTGTGTATATTTAATATTGTAAGCAGAAGGCAGCTAAAAATAGGTCTGCCTGTAAGGATGACTCTAATCATCATGTGTTCGAGAACCCCAGGCTGTGGGACCGTGGGGATGGTCCTCTCCGAGGGAAGTGGCACTAGATGACCCATGGGGCAATTTCCTGCTCCAGCCAGTGAGCTCAGGCTGCTGTAGTTTAGGGGTCGTCAGCTTTGGATTTTTGTGTTGTCATTCCAGGACTGGTTGCTGTGAGGGCTTGCAGCAGTGCGTATGCCTCTGGTATTCTGTCTCCTGAGCTCTTCTGTGTTGGTGCTTCTGATTGGGTGTGTATTTGAAACCTGCTAGATAACCTTGCTGGCGTATGTTTCAGTGAGGAGTTGGCTCAGAGGCGTGCCCTCGGAGGGGGAGCTTGGAGTTGGGCAGGCACTTTTATGGATGTGCCTTTGAGCAGCCGGAGGAGGTGAAGTTCATTTTCCTCCTTCAGGTTCTCAGTTTATGCCTTTGGATTATTTCATCATTCATTGATTATAGGCTACATGCTGTGAGCTAGGAGCATCTAAAGGCGAAGTAAACATTTTTACCGTTCTCAGAATCTATTTGGGGGATAGATACATAAGTACAATTTAAAGTCAAACGGATACTATATCATTCAGTATAAACACCGTACTGTGGGCTTGGAGGAAGAAGAGTTTTTGCGGATTTGACCATGCTTGAAGGAAGAGGTCAGGATGGGAGTGTAAAATGGGAGGGATAGCATAGTTGTGGAGAGGCCGTCCCAGGTGGAAGCAAAGCGTGGACAGAGGTGGCCAAATAAACGGTGTGTGGAAGGAGTGGAGTTTGTTCAGGTGTGGCTGGGTAAATGTCTGTGACGGGCATTCAGGGGGACACTGACCTGTTGTTCCCATGCCTGCTACCTGGGCTCGTTTCACAGAGTCGACCTTCTACACTGAACTGTGGCTCTGTAGTAAGAATCGTAGAGTGCCACAAATCCCAGGATGATAATGCTGCCTTGCTTGTGTGAGCTGCCCAACGGATGCTTCCACCTTCCTCTGTATCTCACTGTCGTATCTTACTGTGTTGGGAATGTGGGCCTCTTTCTGTTTTGTGATCTTTGAAACATTCTGTCTATGCTCACTGTGTTTGTAGCACGTAGCTCCTAGGAGGTGGGTGAATTCACTGTATGAAAACTTAATGAACATATGTATTAAACTTTGAAAGATCACATAGAATTTTTTCTCAACAGGTTTGTCCTTTTATAAAAAGAAGCTTTGCACACAAGGACCAGCACAGCACTTACTCGTTCTGAATTTTGAAATGTGGTTTTAAAACCCCTTGTAAAATATTTGAAACTTTGTGTTTTCCTATTCTTTTAGAATTGACCTCAGTAACTGATAGGAGGATTTTTCTTTGTGTTTATAGTACGGCCAAGTACAGCGTGTTGACATTTCTACCTCGATTCCTGTATGAGCAGATCAGAAGAGCTGCTAACGCCTTCTTCCTCTTCATTGCCTTATTACAGGTAACGCTTCTTCTTGAAAGTTTATTCGAAATTCAGAACCTCGATTACATGCAGCATGAGATTTTGCGGAAAGGTCACTTGCCTGGAAACGTGTCATAATACTTGAACGTAATTCCCTTTCTTCATCCCGTCATTGTTTGCATGAACAAACACATGATCTTGCACAAAGAAAGACTCCTTTTAAGTATGCCTTAAGTGGCAATTACTAAAAAAGTCACTGGAAAATGGCCTGAGGGTCTTACTTTTAAACTCTTTTCTGTTTTACATATAGTGGTGTTGGATAGAATTTAAAAAATCTGTAACACACATAGTTAGTTTTTAAAATAAGGTAATTATTTTGGTGTAGCAGACATGGGGAAGAACCACAGAAGCATGAGTGGTGTCACTTTTTTTTTTGTAGAGGACTTTAATTTGTCAACTTCCCTCCTTTGGTCTCTTGTCTTGCAGCAAATCCCAGATGTATCTCCAACAGGAAGATACACCACCCTGGTGCCGTTGATCATTATTTTAACAATTGCAGGCATCAAAGAGATTGTAGAAGATTTTGTAAGTTTTTGCTTTCAGATAATAAAAACCTTTATTGGATATAGCATAACTCATTTGTTGCTTTGGGCTTTCTGTTTAAGATAGGACATTGGTCTATAGCCTAAACTAGACTCTCAAAGTTCATTATGGTGCTTTTTGGGGGGCTGGGAGGGAATGTGTGCATGCAGTGTCCTTAATACTCCAACAACAACACAGAAGTAGTTCAAACTGTGTTTTCTAATGTGCATTCCTGGACTCCTTTTGGTTTTTATCAGTGATGTTCTCCTGTAGAGTTTGCTGATTTGGTGGCAGATGAAGGACTGTATTACTGCCCAGCATGCCAGCATTGTGCTGGCTGTGCCCGAGGCAGTTTTACAAGAATCTTCTCCCTCCTCGTACTGATTTCAGTGTGTCTCCAAGGTCACTGGCTACAACCATATTCATATGCCATCCTATTTTCTAAGACTGGGCTCTTTCTCCCCTGCTCACCCCCCATACTTGAAGTATCTAGCACGTATCATGTGTGCATTTTTTCTGGGAATAGGTAAATGAATAAATGTAAAATGAATAAAAGCAAAGGTATTTTGTCCCAGAATTTTTTTTAATCAATAAAGTGAATTCAACCATTGTTATGTTTACCATACTGAGTCATTCCTTCAGTCTGATGTAAAACAAAAGAGGAGTGAGAAGTTTAACACTTCAAGGTGCTTGTTCATTGTTAGAACCTATATACTGTAATTTGAACCAGAGCAGGTGACATGTCTTACCTTTGCTGCACTTGTCCACCGAAGTAGCGAGCCATGCTGGTCGCAGACCATGGAACTGAACTGGAGAGTGTTAGCATTGCAGGCAGTTGGTTTCCTGCCCCCACCCCCTGCCCCATTGATCCTTACCGTCTGCTGCTTTAATTATTCATTTGGAACTTTTGAATCTAAGAACTTTTTTCTTTCTGTAACAGAAGCGACATAAGGCAGACAATGCAGTTAACAAAAAGAAAACAATAGGTAAGATACCAGGCTGGTCACTTTTTCCACTAGAAAACCTGAGAATGAGACCTGTGTTTAAGGAATTTTAAACAAGTCGTTAACGATGTTGAGATAAGTTGGGGACATGATCTATAAATACCTTAAAGAAACAGCAAAATGAAAAACAAATGCAATAAAATGTGAGTCCTGACAACTAAGATTTGAATAGGACTGGTCTATTTTAGAATTTTAGAAAAGGTTATAATATGAGCTCCTTTTATTTTATAAATAAAATTTTATATCAAAATAAAATTATATCATATTTTATATCAAATTTTATATCAAAAAAAGTCCTCGCATTCATATCCTTGGTTTGTAATTGTTCCCTCCCTCTGTGTCTAGCTTTTCCTGTGTTGGTTTCTAGAACATTAGCTGTGTTCCTGTGGGGTGTTTGTTTTGTTTTTGGTAAATATTGTGGTAGCAGGGTAATTTTCCTTCTTCTGGGCTAAACGTGAATAGATCTGACGTACACACGTACATCTGCATGTGTGTGCGTGTGTGAAAGCACACACGGCACATCGGCACGTAGACCGGGACTCTGCTGTGGGCAATGGTGGTGTCATGCCTGTGTGTCTGAGGACACGGCGTGTTTGAATAGGTTGCAATTAAAAGTGGAATTTTGGAAGGAGCCTTCTGGTTTGGGAAAGCTTATTTGGATTATCGTCAGTATTAACCGGTACATTTTTTTTTTCTTTTTCAGTGTTAAGAAATGGTATGTGGCATACCATTATGTGGAAAGAGGTAAAAACTATTTTTAAAGATACACCAGAAAGTATTGATGACTTATAATTAATTGCTGGTATTGATTACAGTATAAAGTTTATGTTAAGACCCAGGTCATTGCTATTCAATGTAAGTTTTAGGTTGTGGAGCTTTTCCGTGAGGTTTACTCAGAACTGATGCGTGTTTTCATTCCCTGCACCTTGTAGACCATGCTCACTGTGTCAGTAGAGTCTCGAAGTTCCCTGTCCCTGTTGGATATTTCTAAAATCTCAAAGTACTTTCTAGTTTCTAAATTCAATGTAAGAAACGTTTTGCCCTGGCTGGTGTGGTTTAGTTGGTTGGAGTGTTGTGCCGTAAACTGGAAGGTCACAGGTACAACTAGGGCACATGCCGAGGTTGTGGGTTGAGTCCCCATTCGAGGTTCGTACGAGAGGCAACCAGTCAATGTTTCTCTCTCACTGATGTTCCTCTCCCTCTTTCTTCCTCCCTTTCCTCTTTCTCTAAAATCTATAAGCATGTCCTTGGGAGAGGATAAGAAAGATAAAAAGAAACACTGTCCGTGGTCTTCCATTCTCTTTACCTCAGTTCAATTTTTTAAAGGGTTTTTAACTCTGGGGATTCAACAGGGGGTTGGGATGTAGGGTTGGAAACCATCCCACTTCGATTCGGAGGCGGGGCTGACTGGGGACAACCGTAGTTGCTGCTATTAGCTCTGCAGCATCCAGAAGGCCTGGCCTCCACTTCCCAGAGACGTGAAGTCCGCAGCATTTGGGAATTGTGCAGTTTTTTGATTGCTTATATTGATGAACAGAGAATTTAAAAGAAATATTTTGTGCCATCTGCGTTTCTCGGATCTGATAAAATTAGCTTTTTAAGTGAGTCTCTGTTTTAGCTGGACCTTCTTAAAAGTCACAGATGGTTTTGGGGGATGACTCTCATTTCTCCTCTGTTCAAAGCCAATTTACATGATTTCAAAAGAAAATTACTTTTTAGAAGTGTAACTCAGAATCATTTCTCTTGCTAAGTGTTTAGTAAGCAATGTTTAAAATTGCTGCTGTGATCTTTAATCTGCAAAATGCCAGTGATATGGTAACTGTAGTCTTCATTTTAGTTTTTGTTTTGTTTTTACTTTGTTATAGGAGTCCCTTTGTAGTGTTTTGTGATAACACCTCAACCTTGGTAGCAACCCAGAAGTCCTGTATGGCCAGTATTAATTGACCTCACTCTCACTTGGAAGTGGGGTGGTTCTTTGTCAAGGGTTTGGAAACTTGACATCACAGAGAGTGTAAATGCTGTAGAATGCAAGGACTCCCATGGCATTTCGGAATGGCCTATTTCTCTAAGGTTCCGGCTGCCAGCCTCCTCCCCTGAAATGTGCCGATACTGGCTGGTGCGGAGAACAGCGTGGATTTGGGATGATGATGCAGCTTGAAACAGCAAAAAGGGGAGTGATGATCTGTGAATTCTGGGCGCAGGGGCCCAATGGCCTTGTGAATTCCTGATACACATTTGGAGGAAAAAAACAACAACTTGTTAATATGATTCACTACATATTTTATTTCAATTAAAAATGTATTATTTGTTTATTTTAATGGGGCTCTAGGCATGTACCAGACTGTGGTAGGCATTGGGGACACAAATAAGTAGCTTGATCTTGCCCTTGAGGGGCTGTTTTTCCGGTGGTTGTCAGACTTCGGTGGCCATCCCGATCACCTGGGGGGCTTGTACAGCACCAGGGCTGGGCCGCACTCTCGAAAGCACCGATTCACTCATGCCAGGGCAGGCTCTAGAATTTGCATTCTTAACAAGTCCCTAGGTGAGGCTGATGCTGCTGGTCTGGGGACCACAGGGCAGAAGCACCAGTGCGGTGGAAGAGACAGGCGGCTAAACAGTGCAGAACTCAGGGAGGGGGGCGTGTCGGGAGCTCTGGGGACATCTGGGCAGGTCAGGAAAGGCTCCCATTTTGAGATGCTCTAGCATCCTCATGAAGGATGAACAGGAGGCAACCAGTTTCAGACAGAAGAAACTGGGTGGGACTCTGAGATGCCTGGGAAAGCCAGGCACATCCGCAGAACTGCTCAGAATGGGTCGAGAATGTGGGAGAGGATAGGTGATGAGAGGGCCATGGTAACAAGTGCCAGAGACGGCAGGCACAGTGAAATCCACTAGCTTCGAGCTTCGCAAAGCGATAACCACTAATCTGAACTGCCAGCACCCAAGTCGGCGATCCCCAGGATGTAGCCGAACCATTGGTAAATGCTGGAGGCAGCTCTGGGGTGGATCTCCACAACTTTGGTTGACTCTGAGAAGACTTTTGGGCTTATTCTTCAAAGTGCAGAGACTTGAGAAATCCTCTGAGGCTGGAGTGAATTCGAGGATCTGGAGGGTGGTCTCTTCACCTTAAAATTTCTCGCTCTAGATAGTTCCACCCACTGAAGGGACAACTAGGCATAAGAACACCAAATAGAAAGCCATTTTCAAACAAAATTCCAAGTAGTTTCTCATGTACATGCAACTTCTTAGTTCTTTGTTACTGGGGAATAATTGTTTCTTTATTTCAATAATAAAGATGGGAGAAAGCCCTAATTTCCCTTGTCCTCCCATTTGAATTTTAAAAAATCTACTGCTTTTTTTCCCCCTGAAAACATGGCTAATTTTCCTTTCTAGCTTTTAAAACTAATTGCTTCTCCTGATTTTGTTTTATGTAATTAAACTATTCACAAAATATTTTTACTCTTAAACAACATTTTCGATTTTCATAGGAATTTCTTGCTTTTGTACTGATTCTTTTAAAATAGCCCTGTAGCATTTATTCTTTGACTTCTCTTTGTTATGGAAGATACTTTAATTATATGTCTTCCTTTTGCCTTAAAAGCAGGTACTAACTTCACATGTACAGCGGTTCTGGAGTTTAACTGACCACCCTTTCCTATGTCAAGCCTGATTCCTTAGACTTCCCACATAATTTGATGAGTGATTCACAGCACTCATAGGACACCTTTTAGTAAACATTTCTTTTTTTATTGCAAATTAAATGGCTAGGGCCATTCTCCCAGGTTGCAAAATCCAGTGGTTTTTCACAAATATCATGTTATGTGAAATTCTTGATTTTTAAGAGAATAGTAACATGGGTTAGAATAAGAAACCAAAAAGATAGTGCCCATTTTGAGTTTTGAATGGTTAGTGTACCGGGAATGGCCTTCCTTGTGCTGTCAGAGAATTTGCCGCCCTGAACTTCCACATTCCTACAGCCCATTCGCTTAACACTCCCGCTGGCAGAGACTGTTAACATGTGCTTGTTTCATGCCAGGTGCGTGTGTTTATTTCCTTAATCACTGCATCAGCCCCACAAAGTCGGTGGTGGTTTGTCCCTATTTTATTAGTGAGGACATGGGCGTTCAGAGAGAACAGCTTGTCAAGATCCCAGAGCTGGGTTACTTGTGAAGCGGGGATTTGAGCCCAGGCCCGCCTGACTCGAAAGCCTGCGTTCCATTCAGCCAGGTGCTTATGTGATCTTACTTAAAGGATTTATAGCCACTTGGTCATGGTGCTAATTTTCTTCAGACGCCTGTTTCCTTAGCTTGGGGTCTTCTGTCCAGTGGAGTGTTTCTCATGGTGGTCTCTGACTTAGGCTATGATTATTTTCTGGCCATTTCTTGAGGCTATATGAACCTTCTGTTTTATGTGGTGTATATCTGGAGGACCTTTTAGGTGGACTGTTCATGGATGAATTTAGTATTGTCTTTTTATCAGCACTGGCCAGATTGCTCAGTTTTAAATCTGGGTTGTGTAACCTTGATTGAATTATTTCACTTTGAGCCTCAGTTTTCTCATTTGTAAAATGGGGTGATTTACATGTTTTAATTCAAATGATCCTCAGTGTAATCCCATGAAATGAGTTCTGTTGGTTTCATCGGATAGATGAGAAAACTGATACCCACAGACTTTATTAGTGTTACAGAACAGACCTGGTGGGGTGGGGGGCTCAGTGAACAATATACTATTACTGAATGGTCCCAACCTTGTGCTTCAGGGGTCCCCCACCCTGTACTAGGTTCACCTTGCTCACCACCAGGGAAAGACGTCTCTCAATGCCAGAGATTGGTTAAAAGGAAAGGGATTATTTATTTAAAGAGTTATACAAACTTAAGAGTAATAACTTAATGTCTTCATTGAAATCCCCAAGTTCTTTATAATACCCACAAAATACACAGTTCTTTCCTCCTTCTCTGCCCTGTCTCAGGTTCTGTATCTCAGAAAAAGAAGTCCTTGGTTCTTCTCTGCCCAGCTGTGTGGTCCCAAAAAGATACCGCATGGCTGCCGCACCTGTGTTTAAATCCCTGTGCCAGTCTTTTTCTGCTGCACCATTTCCCACTCCTCCCACAACTGGCCACAGCTGCCAGCATTCTCCTATTCTTCCAGCCTTACTGGGCTGCCATAGGAAGTCCAGGAAGGCATGGCCCTGTGGTGTGGAGCCAATCATCTCCAAGTTCTTACTCAGGCTCTGTATCCAGGGGGAGTTGCTTCCCAGTTACATCTTGGGTTAAAGTCATTGCCATCCTCCTGGCTCAAAACATGGCCACAGCTGTTTAACATATCCATGAAACCAGTTAAAGATTATAGATATATTAAATAACCATTCTAGAGGTTATCTGCAAAACTATTGCTATTCAAAACAACTCTCAATGGGCCTGCACCATGTGTCTCATTCCCCAGCTCAGACTTGTGGGGGTAAGGACATCCTATATATATATATATTGTTGTAATGTTTCCTGGATGCTGAGTTCTGGACCCCACTACAAGTTCATACTTGGGCTCCCTGCTTGGCTGCACCCTGTTACAATAGGACTAGTTCAAGGTCACTCATAGCTTGTAAGGAGCTGGGACAGAACTGGGGGATTTGAATTCAGAGCTGTGCACTTAACCAGTCTACCCAAATGCACACAGCTGCGGCACTGCCCTACAGTTCAAAATGTGGGATTTGTAAGTGGATGAATGATTATAAGAAAAAGAGACCTTGATAGTTCTGACTCATCTTTCTCCCCCTCCCCTTTCTTTTCTTTTTTTCCTTTTCATTCAGTATCATTACAAAGAGGCAATAATACATTAGTCTGTACTGAAAGATTATACTTTTGTTCTTGTCAAGGAAAACAATTTGGGCTTCTCCACCTTAAAATTCATGATATAGTACTATAGTAACTTTTCTTCAAATACTTAACCACACTTATCACCATTTGTGCTTTCTTTTCTTTTATGCTTCTCTGTCCTCCCCCCTGGTTTTCTAGGTGACAGTGGGAGACATTGTGAAGGTCGTCAATGGGCAGTATCTCCCAGCAGACATGGTCCTGCTATCCTCCAGGTCAGGTGTGCTAGAGTGGGCACAGTTTTTGAAATAATGTTAAGAAATAATTAAATTTCAAATGGTGACTGCTGACATCTCGAGCCACCCTTTCCCTTCCACCCTGAGTCACCAGCTTTCTCTCTCTGGCCTATTCTTCCATTATCTGTCATTTGCTCTTTTTTTGCCTTAATACTAAGTTTTCTTTCTCCTATTTATTCCTTAGTCCTTTTTTGGGGAGCTTTTTCACATGTATCTATTCATTTTAGTCTCATGGCTATTTTGGGCTATTCCTTATTGTAGGAAAACATGCAAAAAACATTCCAGCAGTGGAGTGATTACTTCAGTAACCTCCAGGTGGCAGCATGTCTGAGACTTCACATCCTGTCTCCTGGGGGGTCCTGCCAACAATCTCCCCCGCAGAACCCTTGACTAGCTGTTCAGAGAACTGCGGGCATTTTCTTAACGTAACCATGACCTGCAGGTGGTGTCTCCTCTTCTTTCATCCACGTTTTGCTCCCTTTGTGCCCAAGTATTATTGCCACATTTTCTAGGTAGTTTTTACTAGAAAGGTATCAGCACTAAGTGGCTTAAATACACAACATAGTCATTGACTTTTCTTTGGCTCGTTACATAAGATTATATATTAAAGAATGAGTGACAAAATTAGAGTAAGAATACTCTTGAGTTCAAGATTAAGTGAAATGAGGTCAAGACTAAAACTTCTATATTCCTGTTGGGAATGGGAGATGCTCACATTCTGTGCATATTCTTTGTTTCGGTTGAAGACAATGTTTCTTTTATTGGATTTGATCACACATGAGATTTCAAGCCTTGACATGAATTTTCTGCTTGAGATAAAAGGTTTAAAAATAACCCTTTTATCTCAATGTAATTTTTATCTCAAGGTATCTCAGCGGTTATTTTTAACCACTACTCAAGGTAGTGGTGAAAGCATCCTCTATGTCTGGTAGCATTCACGTTCCCTTACGAAGAAAATCTTAGTAAAAAGTGGATCACTTGCTGGGTTTGGGTCAGATTTCTGGTTGTGGCCCTCAGAAAACCTATTTGCAATATGAGACCCACGTCTGGTCTTCAGGGTGGTCATTCGCCTGCACTTGTGTCAAGCAGCCTGCTGACTACATTGTTCCATGAGTCGCCCCAACAACCCTGGGCATCCGTACTTTACACGGAGAAAGCAGAGAAGCAGAGAGATTGAATAACTTGCTGAAGCCACGTGGCCAGTAGAGGTAGCGCCAGGTCTTAACTTAGCTGGTGGGTGGCACAGTCCCTTCTCTTAGCCACTGACAATGCTGCCTAACCCCAAATATTGCAGGTAGTAGTATCTGTTCTGCTTCATTTTAGTTTTTGAGTTTTCTGTCCTTAAAATCAGGTGTTCTGATTGGAAAGTTGCCTGTAGACAAGGAGCAGGGCTGTAGAGGCTTGCCAAGCCTGTGCCTTGATTCCTGAACCCCCATGGCTGTAACTTTTCAGAAGACGGGTTTGTGCTGCCCGGGGAGGCTCTTTCGGCCAGGAGGAGCGGGCCAGGGCTCAGACTCGAAGTGTCTCCCAGACCCTTTGGCTAGGACATCATGTGCTTCCCTAGCCCCGCTTCCCCCGCTTCTCATTTGCCCTCAGTTATTTCTGTTACTGAGGTCAAGCAGCCATCATGTGGGGCCCATAAGGGCAGATCATTTATATCGGTGTTGAGCCCCAAACATGAGTATTTGTCTTTCTACCAGTTATTGCTACTAAAGTGGTCCTTTGTGCAGTTGGCCCTTGAATTACAGAGTTTTGAAGTACGTGTGGGTTTTTTCAGTAGATACCATTTTCCATCCGTGGTTGGGAGGATGCAGAGTGCCACCGATGTGCATTGGTCTGTGAACATTTTATGTGGGGGACTTGAATGTCCACGTTTGGTATGGGAGGTCCCGGAGCCAACTGCCTGCAGACACCGAGGGGCAACTGGGAACAGTTAAATTTATGGGGAGTTAGGGGTTAAGCTTGGATTTTTGACTACTCAGTGGGGGTTGGTGTAGGCACCCCTGATTCCTTGGGTTGTTCAAGGGTCAACTGTAGCACTATTTTGAAGGGCTTGCCTGCAGACATAGTTTCCTTCATAGAGTCTTTATGAGCTGCACATTTGTAGAAGGACCTTACTAAACTTTGGCTTTTTTTCCCCCTCTCTCCTTAGTGAACCTCAGGCAATGTGTTATGTTGAAACAGCTAATCTAGACGGGGAGACGAACCTTAAAATACGTCAGGTAAAGTTACCTTTTGTGACTCGTATTGTCAAGGAGGCCCAAACCTGGTCCCCACATGTACCAGCCAGTGCTTTATCAGGAGGGAAAAAAATTTCTGCACAGAAGGTTATGCCTTAACCCTAATGGAAGCTATGGGGAGAACGTGCCTTCTATTATGAGGGGAACTGCTTAAGAGTGATGGTGGACCTAAACAAGTGGGCTCCATCCATGGATGGGTCAGGAAGGGGGTCATGCCTTAACCTAGATCTCACTGTGCTCTCTGCCTGTTGGTGCCTGTGGGGAGAGCCTCTGGGGGTTGAGCTGCATGGTGGAAAATGCGGCACCTACAGGGAGAGATGAAGTCAGACAAACAATGGGTACCTCCCTTTCCATTGTTTTAATTAAGATTCTAATTTTAGACAGTGGTATATTAGATACAAAATTTCCATCCTTTAAATAAAGCACTTCTTACCATATTTTAAAATTCTAGAATGAAGAATAGTCTTTAATATAAGAAACATCTGAAGAATTTGCCATTTAAATTTTATATTGCATAAAATTGAGTTTGATCATTCTGTTGACATATCTTTCTTTTCTACCTCAAATATTTGATTTAGACATTTTTTCTGTTTAAGGAAGAGTTACCGTGTGCTAGATACCACAGTGTATTAAAGGGTGACATATCATACTGTATAATATACTTTATATTTATCACCAGTATTAGAATGTAGCTCATGAATATGCCTTTCTGTATGGTGTTTGAGTATGTGAATTCTTACTAAACATGGGTGTTTCCAGCACAGTAGTGGAATCTTAACTTTCTGCTTCATTGAATTAATTGGAAACTTTTGTGTTCGGTTGCTGCCTGTGAACAAACCTTCGCTAGTGTCCATCTTGTGGGTTGATGGTTTGTCTGATCCCTTTGCCTTCCCAAGTTATTTCATTTTAGAGGATTCATCATTTAGATTAACGGTGGGGGTGTGGAATGTTATCCCTCGATGTGGAAGATTGTAATAAATTTCCTCTTCTGATTTCCCATTTTAGGGCTTGAATCACACAGTTGACATGCAAACAAGGGAGGTACTGATGAAGTTGTCTGGGACTGTGGAATGTGAAGGGCCCAACCGCCACCTCTATGACTTCACTGGAAACTTGAACTTAGATGGGAAAAGGTACCACTTTCCCTTTCTTAGTGTTTTTTATTTTTTTGAACGGGACAAAGAATTACTGGAACTTTGGAAAATATTAGTTTGTTTTCTGGTTTCAGGATATTTCAATAACAGTGGGATTTCTTCATGTTTAGCTTGGATATAAGCTTTTTAGGAACCGCTATTTCAATTGATTTAAACCATTCCTGAAATTTAAAGAACTGATTTTTGTTGAGGAAGAACAACCAGAGGGACTGAAATGAGGCAGCACTGGCCTGTTCTTTCTGTGTGTGTTACCTGCCAGGGAGGAGAGATGGCTTTGACTGCACACTATTATCCAGAAAAGCAGAAGGGGGGTGTCCGAGGTGTATAAGAGCTAATGGTGTCATTAGAGAGACCCTTAAGTAGGATTTATTTTTAGAAAGTTAAATGAAAGGAACAACAACCAGTTTTCCTTGAAAATATCCACTGCCCTGTTGTCTATATTCTGTCGTCTTTGTCTCTTGGCATTGTTTTATCGTTGGAGAGTCATTTTTTGTCATTACGTTGGGGTGCAGTTTTGACCTCTGCTTATCTGTAATCCGCATGCTGATCAATGCTCTCCACCTGTAGTTTTTGAACAGACCCATAGATGGTGGGAACCAACCCGAAATGACCAGACAATTGCATGTGACTGCTCTCTCCTCACGTCTCAGTCCATGTGCAGAGCCATTCCACTGGTTCCCATTTCGAGTTTCTAAATGATCACTTGCCCTTTTATCTGATCATTGTCATGTTTGACCAATCTGATATTATAGCTTTATTGCTATTTTTTCTTATAGTGAACTCTAAAATAAACTGGGTTTCCCAAATAAATCAACATCTGATTATTTGACCAATTTCTTTCTTTGGTTTTATAACCCAGATTATGAGACACAATTTCCTCTAACATTTTATAGGAAAACAAAAAAAATTTTTTGTAGTGATGAATTGATAAGAGAAATTCATCACTATAAAATTTATTTCTGGTGGGTGTTTTTTTTTTTTTTGGAGATTAAGTTAACGATAACCTTCCTTGGCTCTGTTCCTCAGTGAAATAACTCAAATTTGAGTAAAGGAAAAATTTGATTTATGTGGGTTTATGTTTAAGGGGAAAGCTCATGCTCATTTTTCAGACTATCATTGAATATAAATATTATTTCTTGTTTTTAGCCCTGTTGCCCTTGGGCCTGACCAGATCTTATTAAGAGGTACACAGCTTAGAAATACTCAGTGGGTCTTTGGCATAGTTGTTTACACTGGACACGACACCAAACTCATGCAGGTAAAACATTTCTATGCTGAAAAACAATGCTGGTTTTAGTCTTTAAAAAAATTTTGTTCTGTTTTTATGGTATAGAGAGTAGAACTATAGATGTTGCATTTTGGAAGCTTGAGTTTGTCTATGAACCTAAGTTTGGAAAGGAAGCACCTTTATGGTTCTTGAGATAGTTTCTCATAGATTTCTGTTATTATGTCAGATGTTGTTACCTCCTGCTTGAAATATCAATGGTATTGTTTTCCATATTTAGGGGGACAGTCGGTTCTAACACATTTTATCTGCTGGGCTTGAGTGATGACTTGTTCCTTCTTTATTTCTCTCACTACTTCTGCTCCTCACTCCATTAATTAGAATTTTACAGTGAATTGTCTTAGCTAACTGAATTTTAGACAATATAAAATCAGTTATGTTGAACTAATGTCTCTTCTTTATACACCAAAAAAAGTAATGAAAATGATGTTGCTCCTTCTCCCTGTTAATATTTTTAATATTATTAGTTGTGAATTTGCAGACCACATATATATTTGGACATATTTTGCTAGACTGTGTTGAAATTCAACATCAATTAGTGTCCCTATGTGTCACTTCTTATATTTCATTGGTATCACTTGGCTATCTTATTTTACTCATGGTAGCTATGAGTGAGGATTGGCTTTTCATCTTGTCTGCCTTTTTTTGTATCATTTCTAAAGCACATCTTTAACTATATTATTAACTGAAAAAATGTCCAGTGACCACTGCACACTGTGTCTCGTGCCAAGCTGAATGGATGCAATAGTGAAAGGTCCAACCTCACCCCCGGTAACCACATGCACTTAGGACTAGCAGGGAATTAGGAAGTGGAGAGATCATTGTTGTAACGGGTATCATTACAGAGTGCTCTGGTGTATACAGAAGGCTCAACCAACCCGGGTTTGGGGTGTCAGTTGGCTAGCTGCTCAGAATGATACTGGGAAGCACGTTTGAGGTGTAGAATTGGAGAAGGGAGGCTATTGTGTTGGTCTACTCTTAGAGGTCAAATGAGTTAAATACTTGTTAGAACAGAGGAAGCAATAGACTCCAGTGTCCATGCCAGCTGGGTAATAGAGCTGAAACAGAGGCAGGAAATGGGGAGAATTAGAAGGGTTGAGAGACTCACTGAAGTTGAAGAAGAGTGTTAGAGTTGCTGAGTGACAGCTGATGAGTGCGTAGGGTGCTTGTCTTTGAGTTTCTAGGGTGGAGGGTGTGTAGAATGGGGAGAGCTGGGAGTGAACTGTGGGAGTAGGAAGCTAAAGGTAGAGCTGATGGAGGGCATTTGATGTTGAGGAGTAAAGGACTGAGAGACTACACCATTTGATGGGTGAGTGCTGTGACTTTGGAGATCGCATCGTGGCAAAACTGGAGTAGAGATGGATACCATAAGCCAATTGCTCCAGTCTTGAAGGAGTGAAGGGTCTGAGAGATGGGTGAATTTGCTGAGGGAAGAGGCGGAAGGTAGTGTTGTCGAATATTATGAGTTTTACAAGTAGGTTTTTAACATGGTATTAGAGGAGTACAATGTCAGCAGTATTATGGGGTTCCACATCTACATTCAGTAATATTCTCTTGAGATTCTGAGGGATGCGAGTCTTCACTGGAGCACCCTCTGCTTGCAGGGCCTTCAGGAAAGGGTGTCCTCCATTGGGTAAGGCACGGGCAGAACAGCTTCGGAAAGAGGGTGAGGATGTAAGGAAGTGTTGGTCCTGGAATGGCAGGGCCCGGTGTGGTGAGATGGTTGCAGTGAGTGTATGTGAGAGAGGAGGGTCCATGCAGCTAATAGATGAACGGCTGGTGAATGCTGAGAGGCAGCTCTTGGATGGCCCTTATTCAGTACGTCTGACATTTGCCCAATCTGTCCTCCCTGCTAGGTTCTCACCCACTCGCAGGCACTTGGTAGTTGTAAGTTTGGTTGTTCTGAGCCTCCTGTATGTGAAGACTGTCTTGATAAATAGTGCTCTGCTGCCTACTGCATATTTCCTAACTTTCTGAGTCAGTGCCAGCATCTACTGTCTGACACTTTTGGAGTTCCACTAATCACAGGTCACTTCTGTTTTCCTATGAAGTGACAAAGAGATCACAAGGAGTCCGAATTTGTGCAGGGCCCAAGTCTAGCTTTCAGACTGTGCATATTACAAATGTAGTCATTCTTCAGGATTCCTGATACACTGGTTGTTTCTCCGTCTGTCACTGTTTTTCTGGATCATATATTGGTAATGCAGCTTTGCAGTGGAGGTGTGTGAGATCATTGTTACACTTAAAATGAGCCCATCATCTCGTCAGTCAGCAAGGTGTGCGCTAAGTCACCTTATGAATCTGCATGTCGTGAGTGTGTTGGGCACCTTTTCTTGCACCCAGACACGATAAACCTCTTTGCAGTGCCCATGACATGTTGACTGAGTGTGGAATAGTGGAAAGCCCCAGAAATGTCCATGCTAGAGTCGCTGTGCCTTCAGGGCTCAAACAACAGAAAAATGATGAGCTTTCATGGGGAATAGAATATACATGCATAGATGGAAGTCATCCAGTAGGGAGATAACATGTTTGCCCTATACTTGTGCTGCTGGACCGCAGAGAGAAAATGCGATTGCTTTAGGGCTCTTCTATTTGTCTTCCAAACTCTCCCCTCAATGCCTTCCATTCTTCAAAGTTCCCTTCGTTTCATGTTGAGTGTAGTTACATGTAGAAATATTTCAGTGTCTACTGCTTCTGTTGGTTGATTTAATGGGAAAGAGAGATATTATCACAGAAATCACAGCAAATACTTAGTGTCCCATGTACTAAGTAGTTTGCTTATATTAACTCACTCCTCCCTCAGAGTGGCTCCGTGAGGAAGATACTGTTATTCGTATCTTTTAGATGAGGACACTGAGAATCAGAGTGTCTAGGTGTGTTGCCAAAGTCATACACCAGGGCAGAGAGAGAGCTCTGTTTCAAAACTTGGCAGTCTGGTCCCTGAGCTCACATTCTAACTCATATTCTTCTGACTCCTTTCTTAGGAGGAAAAGAAATATGTAAAATTCAGGTCAGATATCAACTTTTACAGAAGATGATATTTTGGACTGTTTCCATTAAAAGCTCTGTTACTCAGTGCTTCCTAAGAATTTTACAGAACTTACGATGCTCCTTGGAATTTCACACGACAAGCTCCTCCTCAAAAGTTGCCATGTCAGCAGATGGGAATGAGTAGGGGCAGCTTGGCTTCCCACCAAGTGCATGTGTTGAAGCCTGAAGTTTTGGGCTCTTGTGTTACATGAAAGATAACTTTTCCCAACTGGCCAGGATTTAACTGCTGGAAAAGATCAGAAGTTCACAAATGAATAAAGTCACAGAAATGATGTTTATTGTAAATTTTTTTCTGCCTGTACCTCCGATGAATGTTTACTTGAAATGATAAGGTCATCTCTAGTTTTAAAAGACGGGGATGGGCAGGCTTGCAACTGGTCTCTTGGCTCTTGACCTGAGGCCAGAGGTGACGTGTCATCCTCGTCAACCTTCAGATGGCATTTGATTGATGGTAGGTCAGCTTTTACTAATGGATTTTTATTTAGATTTTAGAGGAATTTTTTTTAAAGTATGTCAAGGGCAAATAATTAAGAGAGCTGGAATGAAAGGGAGGAAAGAGTATATTAAGGAACTAGTATAAAGGACACATGGACAACATCTAAGGGGGGTGGAAATGGGAGGGAGGTGGGGAGCACTGGGGGGTGGGCTGGGCTGGGAATAAAGAACAGAAAACTGTCCTTGAACAACAATTAAATAAATAAAAATTTAAAAAGGAGTATATTAAGGAAGATGCTGTCATGCTGTTAAGATAGTTACTGGACTTAGCTTTTCAAAATCGCTAGTCTGACACTTCCCAACTCCCACCCCCACAGAAAGCCTTGGCCATAAGAGTAGCATTGCTAGGCTTGGCGATAGAATTCAGATACTTTCAGAGATGCTATATGAGTTTTTTTGTGGAGCTGAGAAATTGCCTTCCATTTTCATCTTAATTTTATTTTCAAATTGTGACTTTATTTGCATTCTTCTTTTCAGAGACATTTTCATCTTAGTTGTGTTAATGTTCAGATAAATGGAGAACAGGGCAGAGTGCTGACTTATGTATGGACAAGTCACCATTTTTATGGCTTCTTAGTGCCTTATAAGCCTTCAAATCACTTGGTCTTTGCAAATCAGTGTTGTCTCTAAAGAGACAGGCTCATGGTAAGAGGCCTGCAGACTTAAGCTCCTATGCCCATCTCCCCTGTATACAACACAAAGTTGTGATGTTACAGTTCTGTAGGTTGGGAGGCCTTTCTGTAGAACACTTGGGGAGGCTCTAGAGAAGAATCTTTCTTGCCTTCTCCAGTCTTTCCAAAGGCTGCTCAAATTCCTTGGCTCAGGACCACCTTCCTTCATCTTCAAAGCCAAGTGCTGCATCTCTGTGACCGTGCTTCTGCAGTTACACCGCTTGGTCAAGGACCCGTGTCATTAGTGATTAAATTGGGTCCACTCGGATAATACAATATAATCTCCCCAATCAAGGGCCTTAATTTAATCATACCTACAAAGTCCCTTTTACCACCTAAAGTAACATGTTCATAGCGACCAGGTATTAGGGGTACAGCTGTCATTGGGGGAGAGTCATTATTCTGCCCACCACAATCACCTTCAGGAAACTTTTCATAAAATGACTTTAAGTGCCTAACTGTCTAGTACAAACAGTTTTACTTACTTTTCCACTGCTGAGAGGATATAGTCCCAAGTTTCCCACCTAATGTGAAGTGGGCCTTGAATTCGGCTTTAATGAGTATTTCTAGCTCACTTCCCAGCACTAGCCTCTGTTCTCACTGGGCTGGTTTCCCCACCAGTGGTGAGAGATCCGGCTGTGCACTTATAGATGTTAGGTTGCCTTTCTGCTTTTGTTCTACCTTCCTGTTTGCATTCTGTTTTTGATTTGGGGACTGCATTTAGATCTCTTCTGGCCACTAGAGCTTTCCTGACTTTGCTTGCTTGTTTCTTGTTCAGTTTTCCAAATGAATTATTTGTCCATCCATTTGTTTTGACACCTATCGATGTTCTATTTTGCATTATTGATGTGTATGTGTTCACATGTCTTTTTTATCAGTAAATGTGTACTTTCAAATCTATCTTTGTATATTGGTTTTAGACCTAATTATTACTTTGAAGATTCTCTGTAGATTTTTAGGATATAGAATCTTTCAGTTTTTCTAAAATTAGAAACATTCTGATTTTTTTTTACATTGGACTTAAATGAGGTGGAACCTGATGTGTCTAAAGATAATGCAAGTAGCTAATTTTATGCTAAATTGTAATAAGAAGTACAGGTTGAATCCAGTAGAGTCGAAATGTGTTTTTTAACAAGGCGGAATGTGTCTTCTGTCATCTTTATTTAAAACTAGCTGCTGATTCAGCAGTATGGTCCATTTTTTAATTTCACTGGTTATTTGTCAACAAAAACTTTTTATTTTTATTTGTTGAATTTAGGTAACTTACCTTTTTTTCCCTCCCCACTCCTTGCCCCTAAGTCTGTGTCACTCTTACTGATTTTAAATGCTTTTGTACAGAATTCCACCAAAGCTCCTCTTAAGAGATCAAATGTTGAGAAAGTGACCAATGTGCAGATCCTGGTGTTGTTTGGCATCCTCTTGGTCATGGCCTTGGTGAGCTCAGCAGGGGCCCTATACTGGAATGGGTCTCAAGGTGGAAAGAACTGGTACATCAAGAAGATGGGTAAGTGTCTAGGTGGGTCACTTGTTGAAGTAGGACAAAACATTTTTTGGAAAATCCTTCCATGCATGTTTTATATGTGGTAGCTATCCCATATTTCTCTTCCCTTTGGCTACTCTGTATAATGCCAGCCTTTGAAGGAGAATTGAAAGGTTAGGAGTCATGTGATGAAGTAAAGATAGATATATTTGAGGATTGTTTTATATTCAAGGGATTATTTTTAATTATATATTAAAAGTTCTTTTCTTAGTGGTTGCTCTAGGGATTACAATGTATGTCTTAATTGTGAGCATCTCCTTCAGATTAATAATAATTTAGTTTTGGTACAATACAATTTCCTCTAATATGGATCTATCTTCTCTGCTTTATGATATTTTTATCATATATTGCATCTATCTAGAATAGTGTTGTAATTAGTGATTTATACAATCTTATGCCTTTTAAAGAAACAGTAAGCAACAAGAAATAATCTTATAGAGTTGTTTTACATTAACCTTACATCATTTCTTCCTGTGGATTTGAGTTACCAGCTTATTTTGTTTCTTTGCTTCATGTGGCTTTATTCTTTCCTTACTCCTTTGTGTTCTCATATATATTACATTTGTATATAAGTCTAATAATATCATTTTATAGTAATTTTTTCCATTTTTTAATTTTAAATCCAAAAGAAAGGATAAAAATCTGCCCTTATATTGTCTAAGTACCTTTATTATCACCTGTTCTGCTGCCCTTTGTTTCTTTTCGTGGATTTAATTACCATCTGTGTCATTCCCTTTCATCTTGGAGAACTTTCTCTAGTGTTTATTATACAAAGCAGTTTAGGTAGCAACAAATTTTCTCAGTTTTTGTCTTGGAATGTCTTAATTTCATTTTTGTCTTTGAAGGGTAGTTGTGCTGATACCTCGAGAACATTAAGCTAAGTAAAATAAGCCAGTCAGAAAAAGACAAGTACCATATGATTTCACTCATAATGTGGAATCTAATGAACAAACTGAACTAACATGGAAAATGGGGAGAGTCTCATAGATGGAGAGCAGATGACAGCTGGTGGTGGGGAGGTGAGGGAGTGGAGGCACTGAGGAAAAAGGACAAAGGACTCATGGACATGGACAGCAGTGCGGTGATTACTGGGGGAGGGAGTTATGAATGGTAATGGAAAAATCCAATAGAGATTAAAATAAAATAAAATAAAATAGACAACATCTAAATAAAAAAAGACGCAGAATTTGTGTGGAATTCTTTTTTTTTTTTCAGTAGTTTGAATATGCTATTCCATTATCTTCTGTGGCCTCCATTGTGCCGATGGGAAGCCACTGTTATGTTAGCGCGTTTTCTCTTGTGTGGGGAGTCATTTTTCTGTTGCCATTTTCAAAATTGTCTTTGGTGTTCAGTAGTTTTGAGTTTATTCTCTTTGGAATTTGTTGAGATTTTTGATATATTCATATTTTTCATCAAATTTGGTACATTTTTAGGTATTATTTGTTTGTTCTGCCTTACTCTGACTTGCCTTTCCTTCTTGTACTTCCATTATTTATATGTTAGTTCACTGATGTATCCTAACAGGTTTCTGAGGCTCTGTTAATTTTACTTGATTTCTCTTTTATTTTTTAGATCAGATCATGTTTATCGATCTGTATTCAAGTTCATCTGCTCCATTTTCTGCCAGTTCAAGTCTATTGTTGAGCTTCAGTAGTGATTTTTAAAATTTTAAAATTATTGTATCTTTCAATTCCAGAATTTCTATTTGTTGTGTTCTTTTTAAACTTATAATTATTTATTTATATTCTCTAACTAATCAGTCATTGCCACCATACTTTCTTTTAATTTTTTAAACAGTTTCCTTTAGCTCTTTGAATATATTTATAATAATGCTTTGAAGCCTTTAGTCTATCATTTGAGCTACTACCCTCAAAAGCAGTTTCTACTCTTGTCTTTTTCCTGTTCTTTTGTTGTTGTTGTTGCTGAAAACTGGTATTTTAGATATTCTATTTCAGAAACTCTGGATTCTGTTTTCCTCTTCCTCCTGGAGCTCATTGTTGCTGTTTTTTGTTTATTTGTTTACTGACCCTTCTGAACTCATTCTACGAAATTGTTTTATCCTGCAGTGTATATCCTCTGATATCACTGCTCAGTTGTATTTCTATTATTTACCTTTTAATTCTTTTAAAAGATATAATTTAAGGTCTATAGTTATTTTTAGTACACCTGACCCTTGAACAATGTAGGAACTAGGGGTGCCGACCCCCCTCTCAGTAAAAAAAAATCTGTGTATAACTTTTGATTCCCTTACAACTTAGTTGGCTCTCATATCCACACAGGATTGGTTCCAGGACCCCATAGATATAAAAGGCCATGGACGCTGAGTCCCATGTGTGAAATGGCATGGATCAACGCATACAGTCGACCCTTCATATTTGCAAATTCCCAGCTGCAGACGGAAAACAGTATAGTAAAATAGTGTAGATATTTGTTGAAAAAATCCCGTATATAAGTGGACCCACAATAGTTTAAACTCGTGTTGTTCAAGGGTCAACTGTACATTCACAGAATTGGGCTGCCTTCATCCCTACCTAAATTTACAACATTTTTGACACCCCAGAAAGAAACTCTATCCTCATTAATAGTCAGTTCTCTCGTTTTTATTTTTAAGCCTGTATTCCTAGGGGTCCGCATACCTTAGTGGTCAGCCGGTAGTTGGTGAGAGGTTTTGCTTAAACCCTTTTGTTCTTTGATCTGCGTGTGACTTGGGGAATGCTTTTAATGTTTGGGGAATTTAAAGTCTGACCCACCTTCAGTCAGGGACTACTAATTCACAAGTACCCTCCCTGGTTCCTTCTGGGCATAGGCAGCTTTGTGCGTGGACATGAACTTGGAGACCGCCAGGGTTGAGTGTGATCTCAGCAAGGTTTCTTTGGCCATGTTTTCCATGGATCTTCCTGCTTCATTTCTGGCTGATCTACTGTTTTGTTTGTCCCTACCAATATTGTGAGATATTTGTCTTCCCTGATTATTAGCCACTAGCAATCCTATTGTTTCTGACAGTGCCCTGGGGGTGGTTTTTTTATGCTCTGCTCCAAATAATGTCAGCTCCCTTGGGCTGTCCCTGTCCTGACCACCTGCCGTGGCTCTGTGGTAGCAGCCTGCCCCTCCCCCAGGTAGATTTATGTGACAAGAGCTAGGGAGAGAGAAGATGAGAGCTGCTAGTCCGTCCTCAAGGCCTGCACCAACCACCCTCCCAGAACAAAACTCAAGTAACCTGGATGCTGGGGAAAGAAGGAGAAGCTGCCTTTGATTAAATGTCAAAGGCTTCCACTTACCAAGATTGAGTAAAGTTTCTTTAATGCATGCTTTCAAATTTTTTATATAGTCTGTCATCAGTTTCTAAGCACTTTAAATCTTTAGACAATTTTGTCAAGTTTTATTGCTTCATATTTTTGGAGAAGATTTGTCAGTCTCCTTACACAGCAATTTCAGAAAATAAACAAAATTTCATGATAAAAATTTTTTAATAATAAATTTTAATTAAAAAATTTTGAGATATTATCTTGGAGTTATTGTTATTTCCATCTTTCAATACATTTTAGTTCAACTGATGAAAACATTTCTTTTCTTTTATTATCTCATGTAGAACTCGTACACTTCAAACTGCGTGGGAAAACTGGTGTTCCCACTTTACAAATGTAGGAAATGTGACTAGGACTTCGGTTGTAGCTTAGATTCAAATCCCTTGGTTTGGGCTTTTAAAACTTGGAGTTGGACCATGTTATGTGCGTAGCTTCAAATGTGAAGATACTTTGCATAGTTAGTTCGTGAAATATGGTTTGGGTAAATAAACAACATCGACACTGTCTTGGTATACAGGCTTTGTGGAAACCAGTGTTTGAATTGCTCAGATAGTGTCAAACTTTAGTGCTAGTTGCAGGATGTACAGTGGAAGAATGGTCTTTTTGTCCCACCTATATGCTTTCTACTTCATTATTCATATAGAGTCTGGATAGCTCTGGTAAGTGCCATCAAGCTTCACATTTGCACTGTCACTGTTGGAGTTTTCACTCAGTTCAAAGAACTTTCCCTCTTTGGTAGGCACAGAACTGGTACCTCCTTTACCTCTGCTGGACCTTCCTCCTGTCCAAGCCGATCCTGACACTGCTCTGGGTTTCATCCCTTAGAGGCCTTGTTTCAACAAGACATTCCTTTGCTTATCTTCAATAAATGGACTTAAGGCTCCTTGCCTAACTCCCTCTTTTCACCTGTTTTCCCTATTCACACTTTTTTCCCCCCATTTTACCAATTCTTTGGAATGTCTCAAAGATACCTATACCTTAATGAGTTGTGGATATTCCTTACAACGATTTCAAATGCCTTCCTATTTTTTACATCCTTTTTAGTTAGCTGTCTTCTCTCTGTCCTCCAGAACTTCACTGATGTCTCTATTCTTCTGAATGGCCTTCAGTTGACCATGATTTTCCATTAAAAATTTTGTCCTGTTTCTGCAGTGCCCTGTAAACATCTCTTTAACAGATGTATCTGATGCCTGTCCACACTGAGGGGCATGTTTGCCTCTGTCTACTCTCCTGCCCCACAACCTCCTATTGGAAGCCAGCTCTTTATTGGAAAGCACTGTGTATTAATAGCTTTGTAGTCACAGTTGATTCCATATAGCAGGTGCTCAATGACTATTTTAACTTGAACCTCTAAATGTATACATAAGCCAATACATTTTTTTGTGAGCATCTATTAGAAAAGTTTCAAAACAATAAAATAAAAGGAAACAATGGAGACTAACTAAAGCAACACAGATGTTCTGGTTTTCTTCCACAGACACGACCTCGGATAATTTTGGATATAACTTGTTGACATTCATCATCTTGTACAATAACCTTATTCCCATCAGTTTACTGGTGACTCTTGAGGTTGTGAAATACACTCAAGCCCTTTTTATAAACTGGGTGAGTATCACAGCAGAGTTTACAAGTTGAGCTGCTGCAGAAATGTCAACCACAATTTTCTAATACTGTCTCAGAGCCTGAGGCGTTTAATTGAGCTCCCAGAAAAGGAATAATATAGTTCATTTATGATTTTGTCTGGAAGGTAAAGGGCCAGAGAAGTGGTTAGGGATTTCTGGCAAAGGTGTCCCTGAGCCAGTGGTAGCAGTGACTAGTTACCTAACATCTCAGCTTCCTGGTGTATGAAATGGGGGCTGGGGAGACAGACAGTTGCACATATGCAAGGGATTCTTGTGAGGATAAAGTGACAAAGTGAAGGCAGAATGCTTAGCAGATGCTTGTTTTCTGGTGAGCAGGGATGGAGTGGCTGCAACTGCTGGTGATGCTTTTGAAGTCTATTTAGTGCTGAAGAAAGGCCTCTTAGGTGTGTCTATATCAGTGTTTATTATATACCACAATTCATGGTGACAGTACTGTGGATTCCATTGTTAAGAATGGAAGTAGAACTTTTAAGGAACTACTGTTGTCATTAAAACACTTGACTTCAGCATCCTGTATATGTAGACCAGGTGCCTTCATGTACTTTTTATTACTTAAAAAATATTATTTATTTATTTATTTTTAGAGAGAGGGGAAGGGAAGGAGAAAGAGTGAGAGAGAAACATTAATGTGTGGTTAACTCTCACGTGTCCCCTACTGGGGACCTGACATGTGCCCTGACTGGGAATCAAACCGGCAACCCTTTGCTTCACAGGCCCATGCTCAATCCACTGAGCTATGCCAGCCAGGGTTTTATTACTTTTCATAATAATAAAATGACACTGGTTAATAAAATTATGCAGGTTTTAAGTATATGATTCTATAGCACATCATCTGTGTTCACCACTCCCAGTCAGGTCTACTTTAGTCATCAGATATTTGAAAAGGGTAAAGCAGGTCATGTGCACTTTTATTTAATCTTCATAATAATCCTGTGAGGGACGTATTGGCTGATATCAGGAACACGTGTTCGTCTAGGTCATGAAATGCTCATCTTGAAACCAAATCTTCTGCATATATCAATACATATCACATTTTCTCCTTGTATCGCAGTGTTTCTGTACACTAATTGCCACTGTATTTTCACCCTCAAATTTAAAATGAGCACTTACATACTTGTTTTTAGTCTAAATGAAGGTTTAATGATACATATTTTCTGAAGTGCCCCTTCTTCTCACTCTCAGGACACAGATATGTATTATCCTGGAAATGACACCCCCGCGATGGCCAGGACTTCAAACCTGAATGAAGAGCTCGGCCAGGTGAGAGCCTCTCTGGGAACTTTAGTGATGGTACCATGAACACGAGGGGAGACTGGCATTAGATGAACCATGGAGAGACTTTTGCAAAAATACTTCTCTATGAATGTGGTTTTAATGTTTGAAGAGCTATATAGTATTTGAGAGTGTCATTGAACATAAATGTTCATTAGTTTTGGATTGCATTTTGAGACATGGATGTATCTTATCATTTAAGAGGTACCTGCAAAAAATTTGGTACAAAAATACGGTATAATATTTTTTGGACTCCTAAAATTGTTTGTCAGGAGCAAATGGCAGGGAAGATGATGATTAAGATACTCAGATATTCTCCAACCCTACAAAACATATGGGAGCTAATATGAAAGACATGTATCCATCAAATCTCTTACATGTTCCAGCTTTTGTTTCTGAAATATTTCAGGGAACCAGTATCATTTTCACTATCACTCATGAACCCCAATTACTTTACTGAGTTGTTGTCTGCATTATGTTTTCCTCTTACGTTGAAATTAGTACAAGGAATAACCTCTGTTGAATATACTGCAATTAAGGGTTATAATTTCATTTTAAACATCTTATTTAAACTTCCCAACCACCCTAGGAGGTGGGTGCTATATATATACCAGACTAAATTTGTCTCCCTTGAATTCATTTCCAGTTTTCCAGGTAAAGTTAATTTGTCTCTTTTCTGTCTTCTCATAACAACCTTTCCAAACATAAACACAATAAAATTAGAGACATAATAGTGATAACTATATCACCATCTGTTTCCCTCTTTCAACCCAATTAGGGGTATGGGTGTACCTGAGACAAAGTCTTTGGTTGTTCTGCACAGTGCTCAGGATATTATTGTTCTCAGGTGCATTGAACTGGACCTGAATAACTGAGGGATTGAAAGTGCTCAGGAAACACCAGAATGACATTACTCATCCTTACTGGGTACATGGGAACATTTGCATAGGGAAGTAATTAAAAAATTTTTTTAATTAGCCCTGGCTGGTGTAGCTCCATGGATTGAGTGCAGGCTGAGAACCAAAGGGTCGCCAGTTTGATTCCCAGTGAGGGCACATGCCTGGGTTGCAGGCCAGGTACCCAGTGGGGGCCATGTGAGAGGCAACCACACATTGATGTTTCTCTAACTCTCTCCTTTCCTTTCCCTCTCTCTAAAAATTAATAAATAAATAAAGTATTTAAATAAATTTTTTCCAATTATATTTGACATGTAATATTATAGTAGTTTTTGGTGTGCAACATAGTGATTAGACATTTACATAATTTACAAAGTCATAGCCCTGCCGTGTCATGCATAGTTATTACAGTCTTAGTGACTAGATGCCCCATGCTGCACTTCCCATCTCTGTGACTCTTCTGTAGCTTTCCATTTGTGCTTCTTGATTCCTTCACCTTTTTCACCCATCCACCCCACCAACCTCCCATCTGGTGACCATCACCTTGTCATCTTTATTTATGAGTTTGTTTTTGGTTTGTTTGTTCCTTTATTTTATGTTTTAGATTCAATATATTAATGGTATTTGTTTTTCTCTGTCTAATTTCACTTAGCATAATAGCTTCTAGGTCCATCCATGTTGTCACAAGTGGCAAAATTTCTTTTTTTATGGCTGAGTAATTAATATTTGTTTGTATATATGTACCACATCTTTTCTGTTGATGGACACTTAGGTTGCTTCCATATCTTTGCTATTGTAAATAATGCTGATGAACATTGGGGTCCATATATGTCTTCAGGTTAGTTTTGGATTTCTTCAGATAAATATCCAAAAGTGGAATTGCATGGGGAAGTAGTTTTGAATTGGAACTTAAAGGGTAAGTTAAAATTCAGAAGACAGAGAGATGGCAAATCTTCAAATTTCTTGTAATTTTTAAATTTTTTAATATTTTGATTTAAATTTAAAAGTTTTAACAGCAAGGCAAGCCATGGCTGGGTGGTTCACTGGGTTGGAGCATCATCCTACACAACAAAAGGTTGGGTGTTTGAGTCCCTCTCAGGGCACATACGTAGGTTGCAGGTTCAATCCCCTGTTGGAGCGCATACAGAAGGCAACCAATCAATATTTCTTGCTCATATCAATGTTTTTCTCTCTCCCTTTTTCTCTCCCTCAGAAATCAATAAACATATCCTTGGGTGAGGAATAAAAAAATAAAAACAATTCTGAAACACTTTCTTAGAAGGCTGATTCTACTGAATGATTTATACCTCTAGACTCATTACACAGAAAACTTACATAGAAACTTTATTTATAGTTAAAGTATTAATTACCCATAGTATACTAATTTTATATTTCTGTGTAATATTTGACTTTTTAGGAGTGTTAATTATCTTTCTTTAGAAAAAATCTTTCTTTACTTAAAGGGCCTCTGATTGCTTTAAAAATAATGAAGAATAAGTACAGAATATAATTCATGTTATTAATCCCTTTTTCATATGACAGTAAAAGGTGTCTTCCCTTTGGGGCCCTTGGACCCTGTCTGCATCCAGCAACAGTTATGGTCAATCCCTCTTTAGAAAACTACTGAGAAATAGGAATTTTTACTGGAAGTAATTCTGTTAATCTCTACCTTCTTACCAATCCATAATATAATTTCCCAGAATATTACATATCTTCTGGGAAAACCATTTTTTCATAGATGTGGGAACTGAGGCCAAGAAGGACGAGGTGACCTCCCTAGAGTCCACAGGACTGGTTCGTATGCAGAGCCCAACACCACTCTCCCCTCCTGAGCTCCCTTCCCTCTTCTCAGCCGCACCTGGGGGGACAGGGGCCTCTCAGCGAGCCTGCACTGGGAGCGCGTCCCTGTCGCATGTGCTTATGTCAAAGTGGTTGGCTTGTTGGCCTCCTACAGAAATTTTTTACCTTTGTATATTGAGCGTTTATTGTATTAAACCGCCAAACTTTGAATAGGAAAAGTTACATAATCTACAGCAGTTCCGTGCCACCTTTATGTAATCTTAATGGTGAAAGTGATTCAGAAGCGTGATGTTTGTTCTGTGCCGTTTTCAGGATATGCTTTCTTAATCCAGCCAGAGTATGGAGTCTTAAAAAATATTTTGAGGTTGTCAATTTGTGAGCTTCTTGTCTTGACATATTGGGCATTAGAAGAGATCCTGGGACTATCTTGAAGGATGATATTTGTCTTTGAGATGTCTCCTGGATGGACTTAGTGTTTAATGCTTGTAGATCTAAAATGACTCCAGGCTGTTACTGAGTCTTCATTGCACGTTTCCACACAGTCGGACTCTAGAATTGGTTTTTGAAAAGGTTTTTAAGTGGTCTAAGCATTAGCATGTATTAATTTATTTATAATATACAACAAAAATATATATAATATGCATACAATTCTAAATATATTTTTCTTGGTTGAAGGAAATTTACCTTTTAAAATTTATACAGATTTGAAAAACATAGAGTAAAGACCTTATTGGTTTTTGCATTGTATTACATCTTTGATGTAGGTATTTTTTTCTTATTCTTTGATTTTAGGTTAAATACCTGTTTTCTGACAAAACTGGAACTCTTACATGCAATATCATGAACTTCAAGAAGTGCAGCATTGCTGGAGTAACCTATGGGTAAGTACGTTTGTCAGTTATTGAAATTTTGATTTGTAGTCTTCCAAAAAAATCAAGTTTATTTTTATTTGCTTACTAAAATACCTTGACTTTCTGATATTTTGAAAGGATACTTACAAATTTCCAGTGATAAATCCAAAAAAATCATTGTCAAGCCCAATGCCAAGGAGCTTACCACCTATGTTTTTTTTTTTTTTTTTCTGGGAGTTTTATGGTTTCAGGTCTTATGTTCAAGTCTTTAATTCATTTTGAGCTAATTTTTATGTAGGGTGTAGGGTAGCAGTCCAGTTTTATTCTTTTGCATGTGGCTCTTAAATTTACCAACATCATTTATTGAAGAGACTATCCTTTCCCTGGTGTTTATTTTTGGCTCTTTAGTCATAAATTAATTGACCATATATGTGTGTATATGTGTGTGTATTTCTGGGCTCTCTATTCTGATCCATTGATCTGTGTCTACCTTGATGGCAACAACAAACTGTTTTGATTACTATAGCTTTGTGATTTGGTTCGAAATTAGCATGATGCTTTCAGCTTTGTTCTTTCTCAAGATTGCCTTGGCAGTTTGGTTCTTTTGCCGTTCCATGGTTCCATACATATTGGGCTTTTTTGTTCTATACTATGAAAATGCCTTTGATATTTTGATAAGGATTGCATTGAATCCATAGACTGCCTCAGGTAATATGGACATTTTAATAATATAAATTCTTTTTATCTATAAGCATGCACTATCTTTCCATTTATTTGTGCCTTCTTTAATTTCCTTCATTAATATGTTACAGTTTTTAGTGTACAGGTCTTTCACCCTTTCACCAGCTTGGTTAAATTTACTTCTACTTATTTATTTTTTTTATACAACTGTGTGATGTTTATTTAGTATCCATTTCTGGTAGTTCATTATTAATGTATAGAAATGCAACAGACTTTTGTATTTTATTTTGTATCTTGCAACTTTACTGAATTTGTTCTAATAGTGTTGGGGGTGGAGTCTTTAGGTCATTCAGTATTTATTATATCATCTGCAAATAGAGTTTTACTACTTCTTTTCGGATCTGTGTGCCTTTTCTTTCTCTTTCTTGCCTAATTGCTCTGGCTAGGACTTCCAGTACTATGTTGAATAAAAGTGGCAAGAGTGAGCATCCTGGCTTGTTCCTGATCTTAAATAAAATACTTTCATTTTTTACCACTGAGTATGATGATAGATGTGGGCTCATCACATATGGCCTTTATTGTGTTGAGGTATGTTCCCTTTGTGCCCATTTTGTTGAGAGTTTTTAATCATAAATGGATGTTGAATTTTGTCAAATGCTTTTTCTGCATTTATTGGTCATATGATTTTTATCCTTCATTCATTACTGTGGTTTATCCCATTGACTGATTTGCAGATTTTGAACCGTCTAGCATCCCTGGAATAAAATGTACTTGATCATGGTGTATGATCCTTTCAATGTGTTATTGAAATTTGGTTTGTGAATATTTTCTTAAGGATTTTTGTTGAGGATCCACGTTTGTCAGAGGCCTGGGCCATAATTTTCTTTTTCTGTGGTGTCCTTTTCTGGTTTCAGTATCTGGGTAATGCTGGCATCGTAACATGAGCTCGGAATCATTCCCTCCTTTTATATTTATGGAAGAGGTTGAGAGTGATTGGTATTCATTTTTCTTTGAATGTTTTGGAGAATTCACCAGTGAAGCTGTCTGATCTGGAATATTTGTTTGTCGGGAAGTGTTTTTGATTACTGATTTAATCTTCTTACTAGTAATGGGGCTGCTCAGATTTTCTATTCCTTCATGATTCAGTCTCGATAAGTTGTTCTATTTTTTTTAGGTTGTCCCATTTGTTGGGGCAGAGCTGTTCATAGTAGTCTCTTATTATCCTTTGTGTTTTGTCAATTGTAATACCTCTTCTTCTCATTCATTTCTGATTTTGAGACCTCACTTTTTTTCTTGGTAAGTGTAGAAAAAGGTTTGTTCATTCTTTTTATAGAACCAGATCTTAGTTTTGTTGATATTTTCTATTGTCTTTTTAGTTTCTTTTATTTATTTCCTCTCTGGTCTTTGTTATTTCTTTCCTTTTACTAACATTAGGCTTTATTTGTTTTTTTGTCCAGTTCTTTGGTGAGTAAAATTAGGTTAAGGTTTTTTTTTTGTTGTTTCTTTATGTGTGGGGATTTATCACTATGAACTTTCCTCTTACAACTACTTTCATTACATACCATAAGTTTTGATATGTTTCTATTTTCTTTTGTCTCAAGGTATTTCTTTATTTTTCTCAAGCCATTGGTTATTCAGTAGTATATTGTTTAATCTTCACATACTTCTGATTTTTCTAGTTTTCTTCTTGTAATTGATTTTTAGTTTCTTACCATTATGGTCAAAAAAGATGCTTGATGTGATTTCAGTCTTCTTAAATTTATTGACTTGTTTTGTGGCCTCGTGTGTGATTTCTTTCGGAGAAGGTTCCTTGTGTGAATGTCTGTCATTGGTGTACAGCTTTGTGACTACTCTGTCTTCCTTTCTTCCTGGCAGTCATTTTCCCGAATTGACCAGAGAGCCATCCTCAGACGACTTCTCGTAAGTAGATTCCGGCACGTCTTGATGCTTCAGTGGGAAAGGCCGTTGAACGATTTTATATTGTCAGGTCTCACCTGAATATTTTGTAATTAAAAGTTGCATATATGTTATTTCAAGAGAGAACCAGAATAAAACTTAAACATGAATATGACTTTTAAAATCCATTGATACTACAAAGATTTAACAAAAAGTAATGAGCCCTTGGTCTGATACTTCCCACTCACTTGCCACTTTTTAGGTAGGATAATGTCCTCAAGGTTGTAGTATAGATATTATGTAGCACATACTAGAATTGTATTTCTTTTAAAGGCTGATTAATGTTTCTTTGCATGTATATACCACATTTTGTTTATCATTTATCTGTTGAGGGGCATTTGGGGTAATTTCACCTGTTGGCTATTGTGAATGATGCTGCTACAAATATTGGTGCATAGCAAGTCTCTGCTTTCAATTCTTTGGGGTATATGTGTAAAAGTGGGATTGCTAGGTCATGTGTTTATTCTGTGTTTAACTTTTTGAGGAACCACCAAACATATTTGACCAGCTGCACCATTTTACATTCCTGCCAGGAATGCACATTTTTCCAAATCCTTGAACCACTTGTTAATTAATGAAATAATTAAAAATAATAACCATCTCAGTGGGTATCAAGTAGTATCTCATTGTGGCATTGATTTATATTTCTCTTAGGACTAGTGATATTATCTGCTCATGTTTTAAGATTTATATACGAATACAAGTGATTAGTAGGGCTGCGTGTGGGGGTGTGCAGTGTGGTGACTGACCAACTGGCTTCCCTGTGGGATGATCAGCCAGGACCTACTATTTTATTAGAGAATCCCTGGATGTCATGTCTGTGGATCTTTCTTATGAACTAATCAGTATTCTCATCAGAAAAACCCTTCCATTTTATGCCAAGGGTTATATATGTGGCTGCAATTTTTATGGGAGCTGAGTGGAGGCAGAGGGTTGGTGATCATACCTTTCAGCATGTGAGGTCCGTCTGAAAGAAGTCCAGCCATTGTTAATAAAATGAGAACGATTTGTGTGACACTGATGTAACCCGGCAGCCAAGGGCAGTGGACTGGAATGCACATGTGTGAACAATGATGACTTCACTGTACTAGTCCGTGGGGGTGGTAGACGCCATTAGTGAGCATGTGTACCATGTGGCCATCGCATTCAAAATGACTGAATGAGTAGAGCAATGAATCTGCATCAAATCTTGCGGTGAGCTTGAAAACTCCTCTGTGGAAACTATTCAGCTGTGGGCAACTGATGATTGACAGCTTCACCATGACAACCCCCACACCACCCCTTGCATCACGTCTTATGCAGAGGTTTTTTTGCAAAACATCAAATTGCTGAGGTGACTCAGGGCCCCTAAAGCCCAGATTTAGAGCCTGCAACTTCTGGCTTTTCCCAAAACTAAAATCACCTTTGAAAGGGAAGAGATTCAGACCATTGATGAGATTCAGGAAAATACGCCTGGGCAACTGTTGGTGATTGGGAGAACTGTGGGAGGTCCCAAGGTGCTTACTTCGAAGGGGATTGAGATGTCATTGTCCTATGTAGAATGTATCCAGTATCTTCTTCAATAAATGTTTCTAGTTTTCATATTATATGGCTGGATACCTTATGGACAGACCTTGTCATATTATAGGATTTCTCTTGAAACTCCTGTCTTGGGAGGAGATGCCCTACTTGACTTGCCTGTGTGGCCAGTGTTCCTGGGTCCAGGGATGGTCTAGTTTAACCACTCTACAGGAGTAAAACTTCCATTTCTTTCTGGATGCAGAAGGTTCAGTTGACTGGCTACATGGGGTGAGGAAGGGCTCTTGAAGGCTGGCTGTTCTCAGGTGGATTTGGAACCTGTCCTGTTTATTACCTTCCCTTTATCTCACAGCTGCCTACCTTGTGCTGCCATTTCCCCATTTGGGGGTATCAGCTTGCATTTTAGGTGCTTCTCTTTCAATCTACTGGTTTCTGTTTTCTTGGCTGCACTAAACTCTGATATCTATTCAGAGTTCAGACTGACATCAACTGTGCTGTCCTCTCCTTTTCCATTATCTTTGTCTTGAAGAAAGGGTTTCAGGAAGGAGCAGAGGTACATGCATAGAATTAAGAAATCACATTTTCTTCAATGGGGTAGGACACAGCTCTAAACTTATGAGGTTTCCCTTATCACAATTATTTGTCTCCTTCTTTATCCCTTATCTGGGCTCTGGCCATAAATAGTTGCATAGACATAATGCAATAATTCCTCATATTTTTCCTCCACTGAGCAGGCATTCTTACAAGTTTTCCCTGGTAGAAGTTTTACAGCGACCAACTAAAATGACAAAGTCAGGTGTTGGTCCTTGCTTCTATTTCTTCTCCTTGTAGCTGTGTTGTTATTTATAAAAACTTGTAGAAGAATTTATAGTAAGGTAAATGATTTTCTGTCTTGAGGTTTGAAATAATATGTGGTATTCCAAATATTGAAGAGTTTAGGTGTGATTCTTCTTGGAGACAGATTCTTACCGGATTTGAATGATCTGTAAGGAAGTTTGAACTGAGTAAATGTTTTCTTTTCTCTTTTACAGTCGGATGCCTTGTCCCCCTAGTGATTCATGTGACTTTGATGATCCCAGGCTCTTGAAAAACATGGAGGATCGACATGTAAGGCCAACATTTTGCCTCTAGGACCTTAAACAGCTTATGGTGTACTTCCGTTTATGTACATGGCAGTACTTTGTGGTTAACACTTTTTACAAGTTAATGTAAAGCTGAATTAAATATGTGGTTAAGTTATAAAGTAGCACATCAAGATTAAGATCAGCCTTACTATAGAATTCTCTAACATCTCATATTTCTGTTGCTTATAAAAAAGATTTCTACACTACTATTTCTTCACAGTTGTGAATCTATGAGCTTTTGTGTTTTGAAAAGTAATTGTAATGTCCTTTGACTAGGACAATTGAGGAAACAAAAGTAAGCTGTAATAAACTGTAGCAGTAATAGCATCCTACTCTGTGCCGAACACTTGACACGCGTTTCCTTTAGCACCTGAGTCACCCCAGAGAGTTAATAGAAAGCTGAACAGGAAGATTGACTTGGCTGAGAGTTACTCAGCAAACAAACGTAGAAATGAGACTCATAGTTTAAGTGTTTGAATTTTAACTACGACATCACATTATTTCAATTGTTGTAACAAATGAGAATTAACTGCATCACCTATATGTTATTTACTTTTAACAGATACTTTGAAAAATACCGACTTTGAAAACTATTCAGTGATCAAAGCATTTCACAACCAATTTAGTCAGTATAAATGAGATATAATATTATTAATTTATTTCTGAATAAAATTTCAGTTTTAAAATTAGGTAAACCTGAGCAAACTTAAAAATTCATCTTCCCCAAATTTTGATTAGATACAGATATATTTAAAACTTTCTCTGAATTTTTAGCAAGGAAATTTCTTCTGTCCTATTGCAGTTAGTGTCCATTTGTTAAGGTGAAAACCTTCCCATTAGTGGTTCTCAAACGTGAGTGTGCGAGGCAACCCTGTCCACGAGCTGACATGCAGAGAGGATGCTGTTGAAATCCCTGCTCCAAACCACAGTCATTAATGCGGTCCTTTCATGAATTTTGATCTTAGAGGTGTATCCAGCTTCTAGGCTAGAGGTTCTGCATGCAGAAGAATGACATTTTTAGCAGAAGCTTCTTTGCGGGGAGCCTAATTTTAATTCAAGGATTTGAAAGAGGCAGGTGCACTGTGGGGAATTCCTTCCTGAAAGTGGACTTGGAAACATTTAGCTCAGTTAATTTATGTATACATATCAATGTTTTCTCTGAAGCTGAATCCATACGGAGTTTCTAGGGGTTTCTGATTATCGACCACGTGTTCTTTGACCTCTCCTCTCTTGATGTTTGAGTGGAGACTGAGCATGGGTCAGGATCTTCTAGTGAGCATTTCTTGTCCTCTGGTCAATGGTACGCATTTTAGGAGGAAACCCCACTCTTAGAGCTCCTTTTTTCTGTCTTGCTGTACCCTCGCCTTCAACTCTCCTGAGCCAAATTTTCTTTTCTAGTGGGAAGGCCAGCGAACACAGGGGCAGCCGCAGCCCTTGTAAAAGGAAGCTCTGACCTAGGGAGATTATTGTGAGTGTTGATGAAAACATGGGGACTTTTAAGGATATTTTAATAATCTGGATAGTTGGAGTTCACTAAGTGCTTAATGAGGCTGTGAATTGAGGAATTTATTTTCTACTTTTTAGTAAAATCTTACTTTCATATATTTAGGATCTTTAAAAGCTTCTGCGGTATTCATCTTGGCTACCGCATTAATTAAGCCCTTTGACATCTTGCTCTACTATAAATGATGAAGGCTATAGGCTCCAATATTTTTCTTTGGAAAGGTGTGGGATTGAATTAAATGTACCTAATGGCTATTTTTAAGCATTTAAAATTTTATTTTTAACTGCAGTTTATATTCCATATTGTTTTGCATTAGTTTCAGATATACAGTAGAGTCCATTAGATCACTCAGTTATTTTGCCAAAATATGGTTGAGGTAAGGGAAGAGGCATTTTAGGATCTTTTAGCCTGTGGATATCCCACCTTCTTATCTAAATTGTCTAGGGACCAGTGACTAAAATTATAGCAGTTGAGCCAAGAAACCCTTACTTTCTTCCCAAGGGAGTACTTCCATCTGCTGTAGAATTTCTGTTTTTCCTGGGTCATCATTTCTGATTTTCTGGGTCCTTTGGGACTGTTTTTTAAGCTTTGTGTGGGCTGATAGCCAGGATGGAATTTGCCTCTTAGAGGATCAACTCTAGGAACAATTCACATGGTCCCTTAATTATATCGCTAATCAGTGACTTTCAATTTGTGATATAATTTTCCAACAGATTTTAAATCTTTATGCTTTGAGCTTGGGTTTCCAAGAAGAAATTATTTGTATATGTATATTATTTGTATACTTTATAGCTGCAAATCGGAATTCAAGACAATTTTGGACATGTATAGTTTTCTTATGTTTTTCACAGTCATGAAATGAATTGATCATACTTATTTCTGGATAAATAAAACATTTTGCGCAGGCTAAAATCTGTTCGCTGAGGGACAGGTATCGTATGATTATAATTATATGGGGTACCTAGAAGAGAGACAGAGCAGAATAGAGATTACTAGAGGTCATGGAGCAGGGAGAAGGGGAGTTATTGTTTTAGGGACAGTGTTTGTTGGGAAGATGAAAAGGTTTTGGAAATAGGTGCTGGTGATGGATACACAGCTGTGTGGACACATTCAGTGCCACTGAACTGTCCACTTAGAGATGGCTGAAGTGTTAAATATCATATGTGTATTTCCCACAGTTTCTTTCAACCTGTAGAATGATATACACACCCATATGTATACATACCTGTGTACATTTCCCAACACTCAGTTACTTGTAGTTATCAATCCTTCTTCTTCTTCATGGAAGTTAGTGAAAAAAGTTTATTTTCAAACATGGAGCACTTGTCTGAATTTATTGCAAATACCTTATCCATAGGCTTCAAATGAAGATGATCTCCCTTCCCTAATTTATTATAGAATGTCAGTTTAAGTAGAGAACTAAAGGTAAATTGATTTTGTCATGGGGATATTTTTTTGATCTTTAAGAATTTTGTCTGGCCTTCCACTCAAGGTGGAAACTTAATTTGAGTATCTGTGCAACTTTTCTTTATATAATGTTCAGGAAATGTTTTGCTAGTAGGTTTATTTATTTGCTATTAAATCAAAGAGTCTTTTTTGTTGTTTTGTCATGGGAAAGGTGACATGTGGGACTAGATAGCTAGCTCTTTGATGCAGAAGGTAATTTTGAAGTGAAATTCTGAAATTAAACTGCTTTTGGATAACAGCAACTTTTGTGGTGTAGGCCTTGGGGGATTAGTAAATTCTCTAACTGAAAGATTTTATTGAACTATAATTTAATGCTCATGCTCTCCTCATGAAGGCTGATAAGTATTAGCTGTGTGATCAGTGTGATCAGTTTCCATACAACTGCTCTCAAATGATGTTCACATCAGAGGGAAACTAAAAATGTTAAAAATGTGCATCACTATTTGTTGGTGACTAAAGAAACAAGAAGAAGGAGGAGGAGGAGGGGGAAGGGTAGAGGAAGAAAAAAAGGGAGAATAATAATAAGAAGAAAACTAGATAAAAAATAGCAAACAAAATTATTTCCTGAATGTGAAAATACAAGTTTATCTCAAGTTTATAGTCAGTTCCCTACTTAAAAGTGAAACATGAAAGAAGTAATGATAGTGATTTTAAAATAACCTCAGGACAAGGAAACCTGGTGTCACCCTGTTTTTGAACACCATTCTGAAAGTGCTAGGCTACGCAGTCAGGTGAGCGCTAAACAGGTGTGTAAATTGGAAAATAAAAGGGAAAGTTTTGTGTTTTTTGTGGACGATATTACTGTCTGCCTTGAAAACCTAGGGGAGTCAACCACCTTGGAAAGCAATTAAGAATTTAGTTACTATTGATATTGAATTAATTTATAAAATTGTATGTTTTTACTTACATATGAACAATAAACTTGTAAAACACAATGGGAATAATATTACATTAATAGACTTCCGGCCAAGATGGAGTCATGGGTAGATACACTGTGCCTCCTTGCACAACCAAAAGAAGGACAATAACAAGGGGGTATACAGAGTAGAGGGGAATAAAGGGGGGAAAATGGGACAACTGTAATAGCATAATCAATAAAATATATTTAAAAGATTACATTAATAATATAAAAAGCAGTAGTATAGTGCCTCACATATAGCAGGCTTGTAGATTTTTTGAATGAATAAAACTGTTCATTAATATTAATTAATAATAAATCAATGAATAAAATATGCCAAGACCATATTTAGAAGCTTTATAAGCCTTTAATAACTAAAAATATATACACTATTTTTAGATGGTAAGCAGTAATAGGATGTCATTTCTCCATTAATTATTATATAAATATGGTCTAATCCCAAGGAAAAAATATAAGGATTTTGTGTGTGGGGTGGGGAGGACAAAGAACTGTAGTTAATACATGTCTATGACAATTCTGGTTTTGTTTTTTAAAAATCACAATAGACCAGGGGCCACTGCATTAGAGGTGGTAAGAGACTATGAAGTCAGAGAGCAGACCTGATGTGAAGCAAGTGACAATGTGATGGTGTAGACGGCCCAGGGCCCGGTGGGTTCCGAATCAGTCGCCGCCACAGTGATCCCACGTAGATCTGAGTGCCTTCTGTTTGCTCGGCCTGGCCGTACATTCCGGAGCGAGGCAGACAACCTGCCCACCCTCCTGGCTCTTCCAGAAGTGGGCAGTGGGGTGCTGGGGGCATCCTCGGAGCGGGCATGGGCTTCGCCTCTGTTCCCACCTGACCTACTACATGGGCCAGCACGCCCAGAACGATGTTGCAGGAGAGGGGTGATGACGCCTCCTCGGATATACTGACTGTCAAACTGAAATCCAGAGGATGAGTAGGCTGGCTCAATCCAGTTGGCTGAACCCAACTGGGCTCGCTGGTGAGCAGGTGCCAGATCATGGGGGACACGCAGCATAATCTGTGTCCCCCATGACGTGTGGACATGGGAGCTGAAGTCCACACGACAGCTCCCAACCTCTGTTCTCAGGGAATAGGAAGGCAGCACGGTGGGGTGGGTAGGAGATGACCTGACTCTAACTCCACTGTCTGTCAGTGGGGTTAGAACAGATGGCTTAACTCGGTGTCCTGCTTCAGCCCACAGCTCCCTGCATACAGGAGTTCCTCACCCTTCTGGCTGTGTGCCACACCGTTGTTCCTGAGAAGGATGGAGATAACATCATCTACCAGGCTTCCTCCCCAGGTGAGGCCTCTTGGCCGATGAGCCCTGCTGTCCCCTTCTCTGGAGACTTGGGTGTTTGCAGTTCCTTGTGGGAGATGTGGCGGTGTAGCCTGCCCCACAGAGACCCCACTATTTTTCTCTGGCCTCAGACAGTTTACAAGTTAAGGCTGTAAGTATTAAAACCATAGAAAGCTGGAGCTGGTCTCTCCTGACTCCAGTAATACTCTGAGAACAGGAGGAGGCCTCAGGCCATCGTGCATTTCCTAGCAGAAATCACATGCTAGGCAGAGCTCTCAGGAGGGGGTGCGGTTGGCTTCCTTGCTGCCCCCCCCCCCCCACCCCTCATGGACTTTCCGACTGCTGGTGAAGCTGTGTCCTGGAGCACTAACGCTGCCCACTCCTGGTGCTGTGCGAACCCACAGTGCTGCACGAACACACTGCCTCACACGGAGAAGTCGTGGGAGTGACACTCCAGTTCTTTAGAGAACTTGGCTCCGATTGAGAATAGTGGATATGTAATCACTGTTGTCCCAAAGAATTACTTTTAGTTCCAAGTCTTCCTAAGAGAAGTGATTCTATCCAGCCCCTGGTTGGAGGAAGAGTGAGTGGGTACCTTCTGCACCCTGAGTACACGGGAGGCCAAACCTCTTTAAGTAACTGGTGTAGATTTTGTTAATTTGAAAAATGATACTTGCTAAGCAGAATTCTGGCATTAGCAGTGCTTAGTCAATGTTTCATTAACTCTTGATTGACAGATGAAGCTGCTTTGGTTAAAGGAGCTAAAAAGCTGGGCTTCGTGTTCACAGCCAGGACACCCTACTCAGTCATCATAGAAGCCGTGAGTGACATGCCAGGGCACCTCGCCACCCTGCAGATCACCTGCTTTTTGGAAGTCTGTGTATTCGAAATAGCATGCCTGTTATAAACATGATAGTGAATTGTCTATTTTTTTCTGTGATAAACTAGGCCTGTTGAAAAACTGAGGATGTTATGTGACTATATTAGGTCATTAACATTGTTATGTTTTTGCAATTGCAATAATTTTTCTCATTTAATGGTTCTTCCCCACAAGTCAGAACCGGGATGTGAAATTATCTGTAGTAAAGAAATTAGGGGCCTCCTCTTTGCTCTGTAGTACTCGGGAAGACAGCTGCGGCCCACCTGCTGCGGGGGCGGCTTCTGCAGCTCCTGGTGCTGCCTCGGTGCCAGCTGTGCTTGCACAGTGAGGCCCTCGCTCTACCGGCTTCAGTCTCCTTGGCTGGGAGAGAAGGGAGTTGGCTCTTAGCATCTTTTTTATATACATGAGTTTTTATTTTTGTTAGAGTAAAGGGGTTTATTTAGTTTCTCTCACAGGAAGCCTGAGGGAGAAATTTTGTGGTAGGAACAAATTCAAATCAAGAATAAGATCACACAATGACCCTTGAGATGGGCAACAGGGGCAGCCGATGGTTAGGACTGGCCAGGTGCATTTCCCTCCAGCCTGGGTTGCTGAGGGCCTGGGGGCGGTCACTGCCTTCTCTCTCCTCTGCCTTTCTCCGCTCTCAATTTGGGGACGACTCATGAATTACTATGGTTTGGGGCTTTATTTATCCTTAAATCCCTAGGCCTGTGTAATGCTTTTGAAATTTACTTCTAACTTATGTAATAATGATATTGTTCCTGATCTAGCAGTAGTTCGTTTTTCTCTTTACTTTATATGCAAAGCCTATAAAATATTATGCCTCATGCAGATTGCCCATTTCTTGACATTTTCAGTTTCTTACAGAGTACAGACATCAGCTCGTACTTGTTTTTACTTTATTTATTTCATACAAACAGAAGGAATTAAGTTTAGGAAAGTGTGAAATCATTGAAGTGAAACGAAGTCCTTACTGAATGTAGAGTTTTTTTCATAAAAGTGTGTCATAGATGTAGTCCCTTCCCCTTCATTTCTGAGGAGACTTTGATTTAGACCTTCGCGTAGGGAGTTTGGTTGTGTGCTCTGTTGCGTGAGCACTTGCACTGTGGCTGTGGGACCGCCAGGCGGCGCGGACCAGCCGGGCTCGTCCGGGAGGCAGGGAGAGGAGGGCTGCCTCTGCTCTGCTCGCTCCGCCAGACGAACAAGGGGGCGAGAGAGCTAGATGACGCCGCTGTCATGTCATCACTGTGTCAGATGCTGATGAAAAGCCGATCCACACTCCTTGGTCATTTTATTAAACTATTAAGGCCATATTTCTGAGAGTAAAAATGACTACCTGATTAAGATTTATAAGTAATAACTTTTAAAATCCTATTTAACCATTAATATCAAGATATTACCAACCACAAATTCTCAAGTTGGTTAATGGCTATTTGCACAATGTGGCCTCACCAACCATCTTGGCGACCCCGGGAGTGGTTGCGTAACAGCAGTGCAGTGAGGGCCCCTGCCAGTCACACGCTAGTGCCAGGGGCTCCCCGTGGGCGCAGGGGTCTGAGGAAGTTGGGACAGGCTGCGCTACCGTGTGTCAGTCAGGTACTGGGCAATTTGCATGTCACTTCATTTTTTCCTCTCCGAGCTAGGGGACAAGTGCTATCACCACTTATAAGAAAGTCACACATTCGGTGGAGAAATTGAAGTCCAACTCCAATCTGTTGAACTCCACAGCCCATATTTTTTTCACTGTGATGTACTGGGGAAATAGAGGCAAAATGTAATTAAAAAGTTTGAAAATGGTCATCTGGGATATTCTGGGAAAAACGACAGTATTGAAGTTCTAACTGTGAAGAACCTGAAGCAAAGGACATTTGATGAATTGCCCTAAAATCCGATGCCGATTCATCATTTCTTATTTCTAAATCTAAAATCCAAGAAGCTGTAAATTCCAAATTTGTTCCCCTAAATTTAGGACATGAGCATTTGGCAGCTAACCCTAACCAGAGCTGATGTGAGGCTACTTATGAATCTCAGTGTGAAGTCATATATTTTGCTGAGCAAAATTGATGTGTCGTGTTACAGGACGTTACCCTGGGGATGTTATGATGTATGCGTATATTTCTATAAAATGTGTTAAATTCTGAATTCGGAAGTGTAACCGGCAGCCCCAAGGTTTCAGATGAGCCAGTCTAGCTTGTGTCTTTTATTTTCATGTCTTGAAAGTGGCTGTGCACCAAACTGGAGAAAAATGAGAAGCTTTTACCAGAAGGGGGTGCTATGACCCCACTAAACTTACTTGCAGGAAAAAAGTACCAGTTGAAAAAGCTTTTTCCAAGGAATGAGAAGTGAATGAGAGGGAGGGAGAGAACTTTACGACTGGGAAGATAGTTGTTTTGAGAATTTATTACTTTGCATCTCAGGTAAGAGCTTGTTTTTCTTTCTTTAGATGGGACAGGAGCAGACATTTGGAATCCTTAATGTCCTGGAATTTTCTAGGTATGTTTGTATTTCATGCACTTGAAGTAAAAAAATTTTTATATATATATATATATATTTTATAGGTATAAAATAACTTCATCAGTGTGTTTGATTAAATATAGTACTTAAGTGTTAACTATAGTAAATGTATTTCCACAAGCCCTCTTCTCCCTGGAATTTGTGACTTTCATTAGAGAAAGCAAAGTAGGTAAATTTTCTTTCTTTCCATTGTTTTCCCCAGATGAAATGTTATACTTCCATATCCTTCTTTTTCTTTAGATTTCCAGGACCTGGTGTTCTTGTCAGTAACCGCAGACACGTCTGCATAGTTCAGAGTATGGGATGAGGGCATTGCTGCCGCTGGCTTTCCCAGGCCCGCCTGAGCACTCCCATGGGGACCTGGGAGCACCCTCTGCAGGCTGAGCAGGGCAGTGCTCCTGAGCGTGTGTGGGCTCAGTCTTCCCCGTGTTGTTTACCTTAAGACCTGGAAGTACTTGTTGGATTGCTTGTTTCACTAGCTCATTCATGGTTTGCTGTAAATATACCTTGGTTTCTGGTTTTTCTATCCTCCTTAACGTTGAACTATCCATACTAGAGCAAGATTCTTTTTTGTCTTGAAAGTATCTTTTCTTATCACTAAGATTAGGTGGGTTTTTCAGTGACCTTTGTTAAATCATTCCCAAAGTGTTTGCTCTGTCTCCTTTATAAACTGAAAAAGACCATTTTTTAAAGGAAATGCTTTCTAGCCCTATTCTTTAGTTTTAGGGCCACAAAGTTGAACTTTGGTGGATTGGGAAGACTTGGGGTTGAGCATTCAGTGGGAGTGAGGGATGGTTGGTAACAGTAGTGGTTCACAGGGAGGTGAGGCACATACTAAACCTCTCTCTGAGCTTTTTGTGCTCCCTGTCTTGTTGGCGTCCTGGAAACTGTGTGCTGCCGTGTGGCAGCGTTAACTGGGGCCAGCAGTTACTGGAGGGATGAGGAGGAGAAAGGGGAGTTAGGTAAACACAGGTGAGAATGGATGGAGATATGAAGATGTATTTTAAAACAACATATGGGAGAATAAGAGGGAGCAGAAAATCGTTTATGGTTGTGAAACAGAACCACTCTGGGTTCTATTCCTCTGGGTTTTATTGCCTGCCACTGAAAAACCATGACTTCCAATGCCAGAGTCTTATGGAAAGGAAAGGAACTGTTTGTTTATAAGCTGGGCACATTTAGAATAATGGCAGAATTCTGCTGTTAGATCCCACTCCTTTCAGAAACAAACACACACAAAAAAGCACAGGCCTGCTTCCCCTTGCCAAACCAGGCCAGTCAGAGGTACCGTCTCTCCGGAAAAGAAACAGAAATCCGTAGTTTAGCATTCCCCCATCTCAGTTCAGTGTTCCCCGCTTTTTTCAGTAACCTGCGCTCAGCTAGGCTCACGTTCTTTATCCAAAGCCACAGGGCCTCTCCTCATGATGGGCTGGTGGGGGTCCTTCTGTGTCCTTTTACACCACAAGGCCAAGACATCCTTCTGCACTCCCCAGCCACATGGTCAAGAGAGAACGTGGCTGCCCCACACTTGGGTTTAAATCCCATTTCCGACTCTTCTCACAAAGGCTTACACCTGCCAGAACTCTGGTTTCTTCTGCGTTTCTCAGCGGCTGTTGTTAGTCCAGGCGGGCTTCTCCCCGTGATGCAGGAGCTGCCTTCCTATTTCTCCTGCAGGTGTAGCAGCTGGGGGACCACTCCAGGCTGCATCTTGGGTTAGAGTTGCGCCCATCCCTCTGGCTCAGAGAGGCGGTCACAGACTATTAGCATTCCTAAAATACTGGCCAAGTTCTTTAGATGTACAAAGTTACTGTCAAGGGCACTGCTCCTCTTCTCCTTCCCCTAAGTCAGGTTAGTAGGGGGTTTCCCTGTTTGGGGGGACCTCTAGCTCAGCACCCAATTGCAGTTATAGTTGTGGCTTTATTTCATTTTAGTTGACTCATCTTTTTTCCAGATGCCACTTAATCATGTCTTTGAAATACTTGGTGGCAACCTGGCCTTACACAGAAACGGAAGTGTGGGATAAATAACTGCTCCAGCCGAGAGAGAATCCCAATCCAGACCAAAGAGAGTGCCGTGGGATAGGATGTGGGAATTTCTACCAAGCTACAGAGATAGTGCCCTCTGTAGCTTACAGTCCATTGGAAGTCACCTTACTGAAAGGCCAAAGAGGTGGGAGTCAGGGGCCCACTGTAGGCGGGATGTGTTTCAGGAGGATGAAATGTTGTCTGCAAAGGCTTGGGGCTGGAGGACGAGGGAAGGAGAGTAGTGAGTCCCTTGGTGGTCTGGAAGCCTGGTGTGCCCTGTGACAGGTTAGTGGGGGAGTGAGGGGAGGCTGCAGAGCTGGCTGCAGATCAACAAAGAGTGGGGAGCCAATGAAGGCAAGTGAGGGAGGGTGGGTCAGGGTGAAAGGTGGATGAGGACACGTCCACGCCGGCGTAGGGGTAGGAGTGAGAGAGTGCACCTCGGTGCTTAGTCAGGGCTGTTCTGTGAGTTGGTATTTTTTTTTTTACTCCTGTTAAAAGAAGATGCAATGAAGAACTTATGAGTTAGTGGACTTGTAGTGAACCTTCTTCACTTTATTCTTACTGGGCAGGTTACTTAATATTTCTGAGCTGCAAAATCAAGACAAATAGTTTTATAGAGTATTGTCAGAAGTGCTCAAATTCTCTGTTGCGGTGCCTTCTACTATAAATAGCTATACTAGTGAGTTTTTCTGGCAGGGAAAGGAATAGATTTATGTCCCTTACACGTAAATAAAAAAAAATAGGAGATATACAATTAAAGTCCAACTTTGAGGGAAAAAGTAGCGACAAATGAAGCTTGGTCATTTGGGGGACACCTTTTAATTTGTTTGGTGTTTAATCATAGTACCCGGGGCCTATAAAGCAGACCAGTGAGAACTCTCCTTTTCTTTTTTTCACTCCTACAGTGACAGAAAGAGAATGTCTGTAATTGTTCGAACTCCTTCAGGACAACTCCGACTCTATTGTAAAGGGGCTGTAAGTACTCAACTCTGCGTAGCAGGGAGTTCCTGGCAGCTGCATTGTTAATCTGCCGCTTTTCCTGACCGCTCTCCCAGTCTCTCCCTGGTGGTTTGCTCCAGGCCGAAATCTTGCGGGTCGGCCATCACGTTAAGTTAGTAGTGAAAGCCCACCGAGGGCAGTGGTGGGCGAGTCGGCCCGGCAAAGGTGGCCGGGGAAGAGCTTCCTTAGAGGCAGTGGCTGGGGTCAGAAACAGCAACTTGCTGTGTGATGGGAAATTCTGGGAGTGCGAATTCTGATTCCAGTTTTTTACCACTATTGTGTGGTGACTTTGGGAAGATAAAGTAATTTGTGATAAACTTTATATACACAGGGCGGGGCAAAAGGAGGTGGGTTTACAATTGTTCGTATAGAAAAAGACACTCAGGTTATGCTTATTACAATAGCTTTATTAACTCTGTTTTGTGTGCTCACAACTATAAATTTCTGCCCTACCCTGTATGCTCACATATATGAAAATTGGGTGCATGTATATGTTTATATATGTGATTGATGTTTCTCTCTCATCGATGTCTCTCCCTCTCTCTCACACACTCTCTCTCCCCACCCGCCTCTCTAAAATGAATAAAAACATGTCCTCTGATGAGGGTTAAAAAAATCTAAATATATTGATTCCCAGTCAGGGCACATGCCTGGGCTGCAGGCCAGTTCCCAGCTGGAGACCCATGAGAGGCAACCATACATTGATATTTTTCTCCTTCTCTCCTTCCCTTCCCCTCTAAAGATAAATAAAATCTTTTAAAAAATCTAAATATATTATCTTTAAGGAAAGATGTTACTGTGTTTAAGCCTGATTGTGAAACTGTATCTATCCTGTTAAATTATGATCCTATGTGTTGAGGCAAAGAATTATTAAGCTCATTTTATGAGCTGTGTCAGGAATATGAAGTTGAAAATCTTAATTGTAACCAGTCGCGGGGAGAAGCTCTGCCTCATTCGAGGACACCGAGGACACTGTCGCTAGAGCTGTTCAAAAAATGAGCAATGCCGGAGGCGTTTTATCTGGACCCATTAAAGAAGTCTGTGTTTAGAGTAACAACCTAAATCAAGGTCACCAGGATTATGTTCTCACACAGTACGCTTTTTACACTTGTTATGTGTTTGTTTATTTGCCGTTGCGTTCCAAGCACCACAGCAGACGCACACGGGCAACAAGGGGGGCGCAGAGGAGGCTGTGACTATAAACAGTGTGAGTGTGAAAATGCTGCGGTGGTGGGTTTTAGTTTTATAGGATTTTATCCTCTTCAACCTGTCTCCCAAACCAAATTAGATTTCTTTAAAATAAAATTATGTCCTAAAACTGTGCAGTTTAAAACACTTTTGATGGGTTGTCTGTGTCACCCAGTCCTGCGCCCCTGCTTGTCAGTCAGGGACATTGTCAGACGGGGATGAGCTGCTTCACACCCACGGGTTTCTCACCGAACTGGTTCAATGCCTGATGGGCTGGGTTCGGAGCTTCTGCAGGGCCATGAAGCAGAGTGAACTTGAGCAATTAGGACCTGTGTTTTACCCCTCCCACTTCTGCAAAAAGGTATTGTAAACTTTGGAATGAGCTATGAAAATTTGGGGGAGTGTAACACCATTGTGTCCCGGATTATTCTCTTGACACCGATGGTCCTCCCCCAACATGTTTTTTTATGTTACTTTTTTAAATTTTAGGTTTCAATTACAGTTGACATTCGATTTTATTTTATATTAGTTTCTGGTATACAGAATAGTGGTTAGACAATTATGTGATTTACAAGGTGATCCCCTGATAATTCAGGTACCCACCTGGCACCATCCATAGTCATCATGTTACTGACTGTATTCCCTGTGCAGTTCTTCACATCCCTGTTACCAGTTCTATTTGGACACATCCATACTCAGTTTGTTCTCCAGGGCTCATGGCTGAATCCAGCCGCTAAGAACTATATGTCTACTCGCCATTCAATTTAATTTTCTCATGCGCAGAAAATGAACACCATTAGAAACAAAGCTGTGTTTACAGTGCTGACTGGGTTGACCTATGGGTTTGCCAGTCACAGAGTTCCCTTATTTTACAGGACAATGTAATTTTTAAGAGACTTTCAAAAGATTCCAAATACATGGAGGAAACATTATGCCATCTGGAATATTTTGCCACAGAAGGTAAGTGACATTTGGAAATACTATTTTTAACTACCGAAGTTGTACTTTCAAGGGCCTATGACCGGTGCCTGGGTTGGAAGTCGTGTTCCGAGCAGACGTGTCGTGTTGTGCTTGGCTGGCCTCACAGGAGTGTACTTCTCTCACGCGAACCCCTGTGCCCATCCTCCGCTTTCTGTGCCTGTGGCAGTGACAAGATATGTGGCAATTCCCACACTCAGTCACTTACACATGACTCTGTTAGCTCAGAACCAGCAGGATGGAGGGAAAGGGCAGGCCAGCTTGCGCTGTGCAGCGTCAGCTTGTTGTTGTGGTTCCCTTTCTTGGAAAACTCACGTTGTTATTTTCCTCTTCCTTTCTTGTTGTCCTATGACACTGGCTTACCCAGCGGGAGGGGTGCAGAGGAAGCTAATGACTGTTGGTAATGCTCACTGAGCCGCAGTAGGACAGGAGAGGAGTCCTCTGGAAGGCTTTAGAGAACACTAATGCCAGGTTTTCCTGCGAGTCAATGCGATGAAAGGTGGAGCCTTGCTTAAGTGCTGACTGCTGCTTTTTCTTTGTGTGTTCCTAAGGCTGCATGTAGGCATGTAGGTGTGCCCGCAGGCACACACATACACACAGCACACACATGACAGCTTGGAAGTCCAGATCTTTCACGGGGTTGCACACCAGGCTATTATTGCTGCCTCGAAGTGTATACCTCCTACCACCTCTACTTGCTGACACCTGCTGCTGCTCGTATAAAGATGGATCCTGTGCAGTTCCTGTACTCCTCCACTGTGGGGGTTCACTCGCATGGCTTCTCATGTACTCTCAAACTTATAGGAAAGGTGGTTTATATTAAAATACTGTAGAGCCCTGGCTGGTGTGGCTCAGTTGGTTGGAGCGTTGTCCTAAAACCAAATGTTGCGGGCTTGATTCATAGCCAGTGTGTTACAGAACAGCCCCGAGGCCAGTGTATGAATGATATACTATTACCAAATGGACCCACCCTTGTGCTCTGCGGGTCCCCCCCATACTAGGTGTACCTTGCCCACCTCCAGGGAAAGATGTCTCTCAATGCCAAAGATTGGTGAAAAGGAAAGGGATTATTTATTTAAAAAGTTACACAGACTTAGAGCAATGATGTAATGTCTTCATTAAAAATACTAAAGTCCTTTAGAATACCCACAAACTCACAGTCCTTTTTTCTCCCCTTTACCCAGTCTGGGGTGCCGTATCTCAGGAAAAGAAGTAGAAGTCTGTGGTTCAGGCAGCTCCTCGGTTCTGAAACCTTCAGTTCTATTTTCATCATGATCTCTAGTTGAACCAAAAACCATGTGGCGCCTTCTCACTGCCCACCAGCAAGAGTCCTTTCACCCCTCTTCTTTCAGGCAAAGTCTCTCCTGCTTCCTAAACCACCTGGCAAAAAGGGAGCACCTCAAAGCCACGTGGTCCTGACTCTCACCAATGCTGAGTGGTCCCAAAAAGCCCGAGCATGGCTGCAGTGCCTGGGTTTAAATCCCATCACCAATCATCCTCTGCAGCCTCATTTCTGACTCCTCCCACAATCAGTTACACCTGCCAGCATTCTCGTATTCTTCCAGCTTTACAGGGCTGCCATAGGAAGTCCAGGCAGGTGTGGCCCCAGGGCGTGGAGCCAATCATCTCCAAGCTCTCACACAGGCGCTGTAACCAGGGGGAGTTGCCTCCCAGTTGCATCATGGGTTGAAGTCACTCCCATATCCCTGGCCCAAAGCATGGCCACAGCTATTTAACATGTCCGTGAAACCAGTTAAAGGTTATAGATATGTTAAATGACTATTCTAGAGGTTATCTGTAGAACTGTTGCTATGCAAAATAACTCTCCATGGCCCTGCTCCATGTGTCCCATCTCACAGCTCAGACTTGTGGGGGTGAGGACATTCTATATATATTTTTTCTAATATTTCCTGGACAGCCTGAGTTCTGGACCCCATTACAAATCCCCATTTGAGACCCCCCCCCACCTTGGCTTCACCCTGTTACAAGTGCACATACCTTGGCTGTGGGTTCCATCCTTGGTCCAGGCATGTGCAGTCTCTGGTGAGGGCACGTGCAGGAGGCAACCAACTAATGCTTCTGTCTGGCATCAATATTTTTCTCTCTCTTCTCCTCTCTCTAAACATGCAATGGAAAGTAATCATCTGGTGAAGATTAAAAAAATTAAAATACATAGAGTTGTTTTTAAATTCTCTTTTTAGATTTCTGAAAGTTGAATTAGAGTGACCTGAAAACAGCTGGTTTCTTAAAAATTTTTGAGCATGCTGGTATAAAATGGAGCCACATGATATTAGCTAGGAGATAGGATATCCTGCTTGTCCCAGTCACTAATGGCATCATTGGGATACACTGTGGCTGTGTTACAGGCTTGCGGACTCTCTGTGTGGCTTATGCTGACCTCTCTGAGAGTGATTATGAGGAGTGGCTGAAAGTCTACCAAGAAGCCAGCACCATACTGAAAGACAGAGCTCAGCGGCTGGAGGAGTGTTATGAAATCATTGAGAAGGTAATTGCATGTGGTCAGGTCATTAATGCCCATGAGGGGCTTACTCACCTATTGAACAAAGTCTTTGAACAGGCATCCTTTTGCTATAGAGTGATGTTCTTATTTTTGGTAAGTATCTTAACCATTAACTTTTAATCATTTCTTACTTCGTTTTAAGAAATGCATAGTTTTTATGGACTATCTTCGGTCTGGCCACCCTCAGCAGATATTAAGATTAGTGATATCTTAAGAAGTTTTAAGTCCAAACAGCATGAGTGATTTTCTGGGTTTGCCTAAGATGAGGCTTAACAAGACGAGCTTGCCCCTATTGAGTTATGTAAGCAATCAGAATTCATAGGCTGATCGGACATAGTACATGCTAAGAATTTTCACAGCTATTTGTTAGTGTTCTACTACTTTTAAGCTTTGCCATTGCTAGTCCATATTGCCTATTTTCATTTTTTTTTGTTGTTGTCTTTTTATCTTAAGACATTAGGTAGCGTTCCACATATTGGAGTCCCTCTGTTAAAGGATAAAATACAACTGAGTAAATTTGAAGATCTGATTGGCTTTACTAAGCAAGTCATAAATGGGTAGCATCCCACGTAGTAACTAGAATGGCTCTCTGAAGGGTTGTACAAATAGGTTTTTGTAGGCAGAAGGATGTGTCAGGGGAGCCATTAGCAAAAGAAAAGAAGGGATTATTTTTAGACTAGGTCACCTTTTGTTGGGAAGGGATTGGCAGGGGGTTTATTATGCAGATTACCTCACTAGTATTTCTCAGGAAATTCCAGACTGATTGGTTTAAAATTTCATTCCTAGGAGAGGCTGAAACTGCAATTAAGTTAGTTATTAAGTTTTGGTTTAGTGACATGGCTTAGTGATAATGACTCAATTTTGGCCTGTAGTTTTTTTTTTCTTTTTTCTTCATTTTAACATCTCAAATCTGGGAGTACATTTCAGCTTTTTCAGCAACCATCTGTCCAGTTTTCAGTATCTTGCAACTGAAATTATTAATTGATTGCTTTTTTCATTCCTTTTTATGTGTGTGTGTGAGGGGTTGTTTTGGTTTATTTATTTCCCTTTTACATTTTTATGCTCAGTTTTTGAATTTTGTATTCACTTGTCATGCTCATGGAATTTGAATGAGAATAGACCTGAACTCAAGTGTTCATTTGCCCTGTTTTACTGGAAATATCCCAGGTTCCCTTTAGAGTCAGAATAGATAGGTGACTTGAACATTCAGAGTCAGGTGTATATGGCGGATGCTCAAGAGATACTTGTTTTTTTTAATCAGTTGAATCAGTTCCAGATCAGCTCAGTTTTTTTAATCAATGAATTCATTTTTCTCATGTTTTAAATATAACATAATACTGGCATCATTTGTGGAGTGATACGGGAGGGCTCATGTACTATTACTATCCTCAGGGTAAGTGGCCATGTGTTCTCCTTGCAGGTGGTTTCTGTTCTAAGGTGCCCACGTACCAAGACATAAATGATGAGTACTGGGCTGCCTGTGTGTGGAGAGGTTCTAACATGGGTAATAGCTTTGAATAGCTATCCTAGATATTGTTAATGAGATATCTAGGCTATCACACACATCTTGATGTTATTAACTATCTGCAAACAAAGGTTTCATGTAGAGGAAATATGATGATTGTCTCAGAACATTTTGACTGTCTTTTGTCAGAGTTTTGTTATAAATGCTGCTCTCAAGTATGTACCAGTCTTTCATTGAAGATATTTTTCAATCTAGAACTTACTGTTACTTGGAGCCACAGCCATAGAAGATCGCCTTCAAGCAGGTGTTCCAGAAACCATAGCAACTCTGTTGAAGGCAGAAATTAAAATATGGGTGTTGACAGGAGACAAACAAGAAACTGCGATTAATATAGGTAATTAATTTTATAATAATACTCCAGTATTGGTTTTTGTGTTGTTTTAACGTGTCTCATAGAGGGCCTAAGGTTTCCTCAAATGCACTGAAGATTATATTTTATAAAACTCTTCATTCTAAGGTCATGAAAAGTTTCCTGAAATCAAATGAAGATGGTCTTATGAGCATTATCTGCCCACTAAAAACATTAAAACTTGTATTGCTGGAAGTGGGGTTCTTGCACTGTCTAAAAGCACAGGTGGCAAACGTAAGGGCTGAGGGCCAACTCTGGCCCTCCACCTTGTTTAGTCCAGCCCGGCACCTTGTGTCTACCCAGCAGCAGTGCTGAGCTCCTTGCCCCTAGTTAAGGAGTAGTTACATCTGTACAGTCCTAAAATTACCTTTGGCCCTTTGAAGGCAGCTGCGAGGCTGATGTGGCCCCCGGTGAAAATGAGTTTGACACTCCTGGTCTAAAGGAAAAGATTTCCTGAGACCTGCACAGGAGGATGTGGCTCTGTAGTTTGGTTTATTGATGACATACAATTAAGGGGGTTCCCCTTCTGACTTCCCATCTCTGTCCATCCTGCATGGAAAAAAGTCCAATCTTGTCTTCAACAGGGCTAGAGTGAAGACCACTGCCCAGTGGCAGTGCAGTCCACTGGATGAAAGAAGATGAAGGGATTAGTAAAGGATATGTATGCATGGCCCAGGAACATGGACATCAGCTATATGTCTGTGTGTGGAGATTGACTATGAGAGTGGGTGTGGGCTGGGTGGAGGGGGCCACAGGAGAATTGAGACAACTGCAATGGCATAAACAATTAAATATTTAAAAATTAAAAAATTGTGGACTTCCGCCAAGATGGAGGTTTAGCTGGATGTGCCTGCCTCCTCACACAACCAAGTTTAGGGACAACTAAATATTAGCATCACAAAACACAACCAGAACACGGAAAACTGAACTTTTCGGAAGTCCGCTAACAACAAATTCTTCAGCCTGACCGGTAAGGGGCGAAACCGGCGTCGGGTGAGGACTTACAAAGGAGAGCTCGGTTGACCGGGCGCGGAATCCAGACACGCAAATCCAGTCGCGCGGGTTCCAAACCCAGGATTGGACCTAGTGAGCCACCGAGCAGCCCACCGGGGGAGCGACACAGTGGGGAGGCGGTGGCAACGAGTTGACTGTGGTTGCCTGGTTGCGCGCGAGTGAGGGAGTGAGCGGTGGGACCTCCCGGCGGCTGCGGCGGTGGCGCCATTTCCCGCTCTGACCACGCCCCCACATACAGCGTCACAACCCAGCGACCTGGGACTCCAAGGCGCCGCTTGTCCCACTTAAAGGGCCAGAACAGACCAAAAATGTCGCAGGCAGAACTCAAAGCCCCAGAGATAAATCTAAATGACGAAGAAATAGCAAAACTCTCAGACGCACAGTTTAAAACACTGGTCATCACCTTCCTCACAGATCTGGTGGATTACAGCCACAAATTAGAGAAACATATGGAGGCTAAATTAAGGGAAATGAATGGAATTCCACAGGAATCCCATAGAGATGAAAAGGAAACTGGGACTCAAATCAATGCAGTGGACCAGAAGAAAGCAAATAATGGCCAAACAGAAAAGAGTCAAGGAGCAAGAATTCAAAGAAATGAGGAGAGTCTTAGGAACCTCCAGGACATCTTTAAACGCTCCAATATCCGAATTATAGGGGTACCAGAAGGGGGAAAGACACAACCACCAGTGGAAAAACTATTTGAACAAATAATAAAAGAAAATTTCCCCAATCTGGCAAAGGAAATAGACTTCCAAGAAATCCAAGAAGCCCAGAGAGTACCAAAAAAGTTGGACTCAAGAAGAAACACACCAAGGCATATCATAATTACATTAGCCAAAATTAAAATGAAGGAGAGAATTCTGGAAGCAGCAAGAGCTAAGGGGACAATCACCTACAAAGGAGTCCCCATCAGGCTGTCAGCAGATTTCTCAAAAGAGACCTTACAGGCAAGAAGGGGCTGGAAAGAAATATTCCAAGTCATGAAATCTAAAGACCTACAACCAAGATTGCTCTACCCAGCAAAACTTTCATTTAGAACAGAAGGACAGATAAAGTGCTTCTCAGATAAGACCAAATTCAAGGAGTTCATCATCACCAAGCCCTTATTATATGAAATGTTAAAGGGACTTATCTAAGAAAAAGAAGTTAAAGAAACATGAACAGTGAAAGGACAACAAACTCACAGTTATTAACAACCACACCTAAAACGAAAGCAAACTAAAAGGACAGCTAGAGCAGGAGTGGAAACATAGAAATGAAGATCTCAAGGAGGGTTAGCAACAGGGGAATGGGAGGAGGAGATGGGGGGAGAAGGTACAGAAAACAGGTAGCATAGACAGTAGATAGAAAATAGATGGGGGGGCGAGAATAGTTTGGGAAATATAGAACCTAAAGGACTTGAGACACATGGACATAAACTAAAGGGGGGTAATGGTGGGGTTGGGGGGGCAGGGTGGAGGAGAATGGAGGGGGGAATAGAACAACTGTAACAGCATAATCAATTCAAAAAAATAAATAAATTAAAAAAAAAAAACAAAACAAAACAAAAAAAAATTGTGCCACTGTTAACATTGGTGGCATAGGTTCTTCTGAATTGGTGTTTCAGGATTCTTAGGGTATAATCCTGGTGGTAGAATTGCTGGGACAAAAGGCAGCTCCATCTGTAGTTTTCTGAGGAGATTCCATACTGTTTTCCACAGTGGCTACACCAGTCTGTATTCCCACCAACAGTGCACTAGGGTTCCCTTTTCTGTACAATCTTGCCAGCACTTGTTGTTTGTTGATTTGTTAATGATGGCCATTCTGACAGGTGTGAGGTGGTATCTCATTGTGGTTTTAATTTGCATCGCTCCAATGGCCAGTGATGCTGAGCATCCTTTCATATGTTTCTGGGCCCTCTGTATGTCCTCCTTGAAGAAGTGTCTGTTCAGGTCCTTTGCCCACTTTTTAATTGGATTGCTTGTCTTCCTGGTGTGGAGTTGTGTGAGTTCTTTACATATTTGGGAGATCAAACCCTTGTCCGAGGTATCATTGGCAAGTATATTTTCCCATACAGTTGGTTCCCTTTTCATTTTGTTGATGTTTTCTTTGGCTGTGCAGAAACTTTTTAACTTGACATAGCCCCATTTGTTTATTCTTTTCTTTATATTCCTTGCTCTGTCAAGGAACATGTATAAAGGACCCATGGACAAAGACAACAGTGGAGGGGAGAATTGAATGTGGTAGGTGGGGGTGAGTAGGGCAGGGGAGAGTAATGGTGAGGGGGGGAGGAATGAAGACAACTTTAACTGAATAACAGTTTTAAAAAGAGAGATAGAAAAAAGTACAATCCAGTCCAGCATCCTTCTAGCTTAGCATATGTTTCCAGCTGTGGTGCATTGCTGTGCTTCGGGATTCAGGCTGCCTCCTAGAGGTCACAGAGAGAACAGGTGCATGCACTGTGTCACTGTGCGTCACAAGCAAGAGAAAGCACTTCCTTGTTCTCCTGGGGTTGCAACCAGGAGCTTGGGTTTGGGATGGTCCAGGTGCTTTCTCCCAATGACCAATCTACTTCCAAAGATTTTTGTGGGCTTTGGATAGGGTCTTTCCCCCTGTTAGACTGACAGGCCTTTATGGTCTAGCACCTCTCCTGAGTCCCCCAACAATCTGGTACCAGATGCAGGAAGGGAGAAGTGTGAATGCCCTTGGTGGAGCAATGCTGTGGTCCCCTGGAGTGTGAAGAGGCTGTAGCTTGCTGGTGAAGCAAACAGGCTCCTGCTTCCCAGTGTAATAAGATCAATGTCTAGTCTTTTTGCTCTCCTTCTCAATGTCTAGCTAAACACCAATGGTAACAAAACTATTACATCATCCTGAAAAGTATTAAACAAACTTGCATGGGATATAAATTTAGGAGTTGATGACTTTGATTTTCTTATTTCTTTCATTACAAAATTTTAGTCTTAAGACTAAAGCATGTCTTAAGAGATTAAGAGCATGTTTTCACTAAGTTCAAATCTGCAGTTATTTTATATAATTGTGACCACTTTAATGATTTTACCAATAAATAGATTTTTCTAAGAGTCTTGTATTTTCCCCTTCCCCATCTGGATTGGCAACCTTTTTGCTTGCTAAGTATTGCAGATATGAAAATCGGAGAAAAGGAATTTAAGTCCAAGTAACTTCATCAGTCTTAAAGAGGTACATTTAAAACATGAAACAGAATCCAATTTTGATTACTTGAATTATTTAAAAATTGTCTGGTACTTCTGCCACCCTTATGGAGTAACAAGCTGTGGTACATATTTGATAAAATGAACATATAAGTACCAAATGATTTACAATGTATTTATGGAAATAGATTCTTTGTCACAGATCACTTCAGAAAGAAACATACTAGAACATCTGATTTAAGTAATGGTTGTACTGCTCGGAGTAGTCGCTCTGGAATAGTACCACCCTGGAATCCATGGTGCCCCTTTCCTTAAAACTTCTCTTTTGAATCAGCTCAATTGTTAACCTTGATTGCAGACCATACCTACCATATGGAGTGAATTTCATCTTTAGAAAAATAGACAACATCCGTTACTTATTTCTTCTCAAGGGTATAGCTAATGAAATGCAATTTGGATTCCCAACCTCCTTGATGCTAAAGTCACATGAGCAGCCTCTGAAGCATCAGTTAGAGACTTTGTCCATTAATCTGTGCTAGATGTCTCTTAAATACAAGTTTTTGGAGAAAAGTATGATGAAATTTCTGTGAGGACCCATCACTACTAATACAAAATAAAACCCTATTTTTCGTAGCCCTTTGGTGATGTAGGCAACATTTTTGTAAATGAAAGATAATACATTTGCTTTTGTTATAATGTCTCTCTATATGAATATATATTAGTCCTTCAGATATAACTTCCCACATAAACATGGCTATTGATCTGTGGTTCCTAGGGCTCTTACAGAGCTCATAAAGTTGACTGCTTCCTTGAAACACT